CTGATAACTAGGCTGGACACCGCAGCTAAGGACTCTGCTAGCCTAGCCCAGCATCTAGCTGCGAGACGCGAGGCCCGCCCACCAGCGCGGAGCCGAGACAGAGGCAGGGAGCGCTCGCCCGGCAGGCGCCCCGGACCATATCCACGCTCCGTGGTTCATCGTTCCCCAGCGACGAGGCCCCCGGGCCCAGACAGGCACACGGGAGGCTCGCGGGACCAACGCACCCACCGACGACCTCCCTATGGCAGAGGAGGTCGGGGTGGGAAGAATTCTTTCAATAAAAGCCGTGCGGCATTTCATCAGTACTCGCTGTCTGAGTCTCATTTGGGGGTATGTAACATGTCAAATGATTTGAATTCTGATTGTGTTACTTCTCAAGCATATAACGTGGCTCCGCTAGGCCTGCAGCCCCCAGAGAAGGGCGTGCAGCGTGCTATGCGGGCCACGGGCTCCGATTCACGGGTTCATGTTTTGCCCTCCCGGAGAGAGGGCAGGCGGAGGGATCTGGTAAGTGATAATGTGTGTGCTCCAGCCGAACGCGTGTTAGCATCTCTGAGCTACAAGGCTAACACGGGGTTTCCCACTCCAGGGGCTCGTCCCCCCCTCCATGAGGCAAGAGCCAAGGGGGGGCACAGCAGCCGTGTCACGTGTGGTGAGCAGAGCTACAAGGCTAACACGGGGTTTCCCACTCCAGGGGCTCGCCCCCCCCTCCATGAGGCAAGAGCCAGGGGGGGGCACAGCAGCCGAGTCACGTGTGGTGAGCAGTCCCGTACTTATGACGTCGGGCCTGCAGAACACGTGACCGCCCTCGGCGCTCACGGTGTGACGCAGGGGCCCCCCCGGCCCTTTCAGCCACCCCCCCTCCCTGCTAGGAACACCAGGAGAGGGCGGGGCCGTGACGTCTCGTGTTCCAACTCCCGTTCCGCCCCTCACAGATTTCTACAGCATCTGGAGAGAGCAGGGCCTACTGACAGATATTTGGCTGGAGAAAACTCTGCGCAGAGGTTACGCGCTGCAATTTTTCCGAAAGCCACCACCATTCCGAGGCGTACGGGCAGTACGCTCTCAGGTACGGGGATCGACAGAGGCACTACAAGCGGAGGTCTCCTCTCTGCTGAGTCGAGGCGCAGCAGTGGAGGTAGACCCGCAGGACGCCACCAGGGGGCTGTACTCCCCTTACTTCTTAGTGCCAAAGAAATCAGGCGGGGTGCGTCCCATTCTGGATCTGCGCGTGTTAAACGAGTGCATTTCCAAACGGCAGTTTCGGATGCTGTCCACAAAGCAGCTCCTCGAGTGTGTCAGGGAAGGAGACTGGATGACTACCATAGACCTGACAGATGCGTACTTCCACGTGCCCATAGTGCCAGAACACAGGAGGTTTCTGCGCTTCGCAGTGGGAGAGAGGAATTACGAGTACTGCCGTCTACCCTTCGTGTACGCACTCGCGCCTCGGACTTTTTCCAAATGTGTGGAAGCAGCTCTGGAGCCGATCAGACGTGCGGGGGTAAGAATATTAACCTATATAGACGATTGGTTAATACTGGCCCCATCCAGGGAAGTGGCCGTGAGCCACACGCACTGGGTCCTGTCCCACATACAGCGTCTGGGCTTTGTGGTGAACAGGGAGAAGAGCAAGCTGCAGCCAGCCCAACGCATGGTTTATCTCGGTCTGCAGCTAGACTCTGTGACATTCCGTGCTGCATTGTCCGTGGACAGACGGATGAATATTACCCGTCTGGCCCGGGAGGTTCTGGCGGGCCCCAGAGTCCCCGCTCGGCGCCTCAGGTCCCTGCTGGGAATGATGGCAGCGGCTCATGCTGTGGTGCGGCTAGGCCTGCTCCACATGAGAAATTTTCAGAGGTGGTTCTCGCGCCTCAGGCTTCACCCCTCCCGGGACGGGGGGAGGCTGATCTGGGTTCCCCAAGGGGCAGCATCGGACATCAGGTTCTGGCTCACTCCGGGTCGATTGCGGGACGGAGTGACTCTGGCCTGCGCCGTGTCTCACGTCGAGGTGTTCACGGACGCGTCGCTCGAAGGATGGGGCGGGGTCCTCGGCCAGAGTTCTGTAGGAGGCTGCTGGTCGGACTCAGCCCGTCACATCAACCTGCTGGAGATGGAGGCAGTGCACAGAGTACTGCTGCACTTTGCCCCTCAGCTGCAGGGGAGACACGTGATGGTGCGCTCAGACAACACCACAGTGGTCTCCTATCTGAACAGGCAGGGGGGCACCAGGTCCCCCGCTCTCCATCGCATGGCGACGGTGACGCTGCTGTGGGCGGCGCTTCACCTCCTGTCTCTCAGGGCGCGCCACGTCCCGGGGGTCCGGAACGTGGGAGCCGACAGGATGTCCAGGGGGGGCCCACTCCAGGACGAGTGGGGCCTGGCCCCACGGGTAGCTGCGGAGATCTGGCGGAGGTTCGGCTGTCCAGTGGTCGACCTTTTCGCCAGTGCAGAGAACGCACAGTGCCCGTCCTGGTTCGCCTTAAGGGCCGCGGACGAGCCGCCTTTAGGCGTGGACGCTCTGGCTCATTACCCATGGCCAGGCGGCCTGTTGTACGCTTTTCCACCGGGGCGTCTCCTGCCGGTCCTGCTGCGGAGGATCGAACAGGAGAGGAGATCGGTGATCCTGGTGGCTCCGGACAGTCCGCATGCCCGGTGGTTCCCCTTCCTGAGGGGCATGGCGGTGATGGAGCCCTGGGCCCTCCCGGACGAGCCGGGGGCTCTAGTCCAGGGGGGGAGGAGCCCTGTTTTCACGTCCGATAATCGGCCGCAGGCTCTGGGTTTGGAGGTTGAGAGGCGGAGCCTCGTAGATCTGGGTCTTCCCCCTGCGGTGGTGGAGACCATTCAGGGAGCGAGGGCGCCGTCCACCGTGAGGGCCTACGCCACGAGGTGGAGGCTATTCAGTGTCTGGTGCGATTCCCGTTCCTGGGATCCCAGGTGTTGCCCGCTGGAGGGGGTCCTGGGATTCCTACAGGAGCTCTTCGACAAGGGGAGGGCTGTCGCTACCTTGGCGGTGTTCGCGGCAGCCATTACTTCGGGTCACGACGGATTCGGGGGGTTCACAGCCCGTTCTCACCCGTTGGGAAAACGTTTTCTGCGGGGGGCGCGCAGGAGGAGGCCCCCGCTCCAGAGAACGCCTCCGGTTTGGGACCTCAGGGTGGTCCTTAGGGGGCTGTCGGGTCCGCCTTTTGAACCGGCGGCGGAGGCGAGTCCCGAGTGTATCGCCTTTAAGACGGCCCTCTTACTGGCGTTGGCGTCTGCGAAGAGGGCGGGCGATTTGTGTGCGCTCTCCGTCCATGCGTCGTGCCTGTCCTTTGGAGAGGACGACGGCATGGTGGAATTGTGGCCCAATCCGGCTTTTCTCCCCAAGGTCATCACGTCGGCCTTTAGGTCGAGGGTCATCAGGATTAGGGCTTTCCACCCGCCGCCGCATGCCTCCCCCGAGGAGGAGCGGCAGCACCTTCTGTGTCCTATCAGAATGCTGAGGCATTACCTGGCCATGACGTCGTCATTCAGGTCGGGTGATCAGCTGTTTGTGTGTCTGGGCCCCAAGAACAGGGGCGCCCCGCTGTCGGCTCAGCGGCTGGCGCATTGGGTCGCCACGGCGGTGCGGCGGGCGTATCAGACGCAGGGTCTGGCCCCCCCGGTGGGTTTTCAGGTCGCATTCCACGCGTGGGATGGCGGCCTCTACGGCCCTTCTCAGGGGGGCGTCGGTCGAGGACGTTTGCCGTGCGGCTTCTTGGGCGTCGTCCTCCTCTTTCGTCCGGTCTTATCTTTCGGATGTGTCGGACCGGTCGGTGGCCCATTCCGTGCTGAGTGCAGCGGACTGAGTTAGACCGTTGGGTCCCTCCCCTGAGGGGGGCCTTCGGTCTATTTTCCGCCCTGGTGCAGGAGCTCTTGGGAGAGGCATCCTACAGGTGCGGTACATTTTGTGTGTGTGGTCGGTCTGGTAGTCCACGTCAGGAGCTCTTGGGAGAGGCGTCCTGTGACTACGGATGACCTACGGCTTGTGTTACGTGGGGGTATCCTTGGTAGGAGTGGCCCCGTAACACGCTTGTTTCTTCTGCCCTGAGTCCTCTCACGTTGTGAGGGTCTTGCTCGGGCGGAGCTCCAATCACCTTCGCTGGCCTGCTGGGAGTACATTTTCCTACGGCCTCCGCGTTGTGTCCCACTAGCAAAGTCCTAAGGGACGTAGCACCATGACGTAGAATTAATAGTTACTTAATGTAACTTAAGTTCTACGAATAGGTGCGTAGTCCCTTAGCTACGAGCCCATCAGGCCAGCCCGGCTTGGCAGAGTTCAAGAGGGGGTACGGCCTTGTGCAGGGGCATTTATAGAGGAAGGTGGCTGGTGATTGGAGCAAATTATTTTGATCTCTCTGGCGCGTGACCTGGGGGTCACGAGTGATATCCCACTAGCGAAGTCCTAAGGGACTACGCACCTATTCGTAGAACTTAAGTTACATTAAGTAACTATTAAATATACAGCAATAAAATAAAATGAAATTAATGGAATAGTAGTAATAGTAGTGGGGCGGCAGTGGCTCAGTTGACAATTTGTCCTTGGCAAGACACTTAACCCCACTTTGCCTGAAGCCCCCGCTGCTGTCACATTATAGATCCATTGCTCTCACTGACAGAGCAGCTGTCTTCCTGTGCACTCACCATTATTGGATGAATAGTAGTTTTTTCTTCGGCCAATTAGACCTTAGGTCACATGTATTCAAAGACTGTATACATTTTACAATAAGAAAAAAACTAAATCGTGTATATTAAGAATGTTAGTGCTAAATAATGCTATGCACAACCGATGCATTATTATTCCAAAACTCATCCCAAATTTTATTTTGCCTCGTCTGGCGGATATCCGGTCTGCGCCGCGTGTGTCAGTTCGTCTTGTTTACTTCACACTAACCACGCAGTTGGCACACGCCTCTGTGCACGTCCTGGTCATACCAAACCAAAGCAAACCAAACCCGTGTGCAGAAATGTCAGCCTTCATGAAGATCTGTGCCCTGGTGGTGAACGTCCTCTGCACCCCTCTGCACCTCATCCACGCCGTGGGTCTGTACAAGCTCTACAAACGCCTCTTCCCCTTCTGTTTGTACCGAATCACCAAAAACTACAACAAGCAACTCCACGAAACCAAGAAGGAGCTTTTTGGCCACGTCTCGCAGTTCAAGCCGCCCGGGAAGCCGCTCTCTCTGCTGGAGATCGGCTGCGGGACCGGGGCCAACTTCCAGTTCTTCCCCCCCGGGTGCAAGGTGATCTGCACGGACCCCAATCCCTTCTTTGACCGGTACCTGACCAGCGCCATGGGGGAGAACGGCCACCTGACCTACGAGCAGTTCGTGGTCGCGTCCGGGGAGGATCTGAGCTCGATCCCGGACGAGTCTGTGGACGTGGTGGCCTGCACGCTGGTCCTGTGTTCGGTCAGAGATATCCCCCAGACCCTGCGAGAGGCCCAGCGGGTGCTCCGGCCTGTAAGTGCCCCTATAGTCATATTAGTATCATGTTAATATCATGGCAATATCACTGTTTGTAAATTATTATATCGTATATATTATTATTTCTGAACTATTAGGCGCACCTGTATATAAGCCGCACCAGCAACATTTTATTAGAAAGTAAGGTTTGTCCACATAAGGCATCAGTTGTTTTTTTACAGCACTTTTTTGGATACTCTAAGAGGCTTCATCTGTCGTTATTCATGCACTATTAATGTAGCCACAGCTGCCATGGGGCACACTGACAGAAGAGAGGCAACCAGTCTGTGCCATCAGCCCCTCCAACCACCACCAACTATTCACACATAAAGGCCGCAAGTTTTCATGTTGTTATGTAGCAGATTTCTGAATCTCTTCAGATTCCAACAGCAGTTTTGATGGCATTAAAATAAATGGAAATCAGTAGAAATACAAGTTTTATTTATGCTCTACCTTTTTTTAAATTAGGCAATTATATATATATATATATATACAGTGTATATAAAGCATTCGGCCCCCTTGAACCTTTCAACATTTTGCCACATTTCAGGCTTCAAACATAAAGATATAAAAATGTAATTTTTTGTCATGAATCAACAACAAGTGGGACAAAATCGTGAAGTGGAACGAAATTTATTGGATAATTTAAACTTTTTTAACAAATAAAAAACTGAAAAGTGGGGCATGCAATATTATTCGGCCCCTTTACTTTCAGTGCAGCAAACTCACTCCAGAAGTTCAGTGAGGATCTTTGAATGATCCAATGTTGTCCTAAATGACTGATGATGATAAATAGAATGCACCTGTGTGTAATCAAGTCTCCGTATAAATGCACCTGCTCTTTGATAGTCTCAGGGTTCTGTTTAAAGCGCAGAGAGAACCATGAAGACAAAGGAACACATAGGGCTGGGTGATATGGCAAAAAAAAAATCTCCGATTTTTTCACACCAAATCCGATTTTCGATTTTAATCGATTTTATTTTTTTCTATTTAAAAACAAGCTACAACTGACAAAGAAATAGATTTTCCTTTATGCAGTTTAATCTAAATCCCCATGGAGCATAAGTGTAACAGGAATTAAGCCTTAAAACATGCTTGTAAACGAGATGGCTCTGCCATTGTAAACAGTGAAAATGTAGCTTAACAGTTTTATAATAACTTCACTTACAATGACACTATGCACCTTCAAAATAACTTAAATCACACAAACAAGGCCCATCGCAAATATATCAATCCTATTAAACACATGCATTATTTACATAAAATATCACATTTTTAAAACTGATTACTCAAAATAGAAATGTTGTAACAGACAGTCTTTTCCAAAAGCCTCCCTCGGGTTTTCATGCTTGTTCTTCCAACTGTGCCTGAGTAACTGTGCTGTAGTACAACGCTCGGTCCAGCTGGTGGCGCTAATACTAACTTCAGTGACTCCCGCATTGTGCGAGCTTCCTGTTTACATTCTGATGCTGTAGCTAACAGCTACTGTAGCAGCTACTGTAGCTAACAGACAGCGGGGAACACGTTGTTTGTATCAGAGCAATGAGAGCAATGTGTGAGACGTGTATTTCCCCAAGTGCAGCGGCTCAGTGGGACACGAGTGTGTGCGCGCCACGGACACGGGAGTGCGCTTTGGAATAACGAGCGTGAGAGAGCGTGAAAGATGTGGCGTACGAACATGGCGTACGAACATAGCGACCGGAGCCTGCGTGTGTGTGTGTGTGTGTTTTGGCGATTAAATAAAGTCTGATTCTTGAACGTTTGAAGTGTTATTGCAACAGCACCAACTGTGAGAGCGAGCATCAGGCCAGAGGGAGACTGTTAGCATTAGGTTAGCTTCAAAATGACTGCTCAACACCATAGACCCGCGGTTAGCGCGTTAGCGCTGTAGTTCTGCGCTGGAGAAAATAAAAATCGAATTTTAAAAAAAAGAAATCGCCCTAAACGTAAAACTCGAATTAATGATTAAAATCGATTAATCGCCCAGCCCTAGCCCATGATCACTCTGGATGAACTGCAGATAACTACAGCTGAGGGGGGAGAGTCTGTCCATAGGACAACAATCAGTCGTGCACTGCACAAATCTGGCCTCTATGGAAGAGTGGCAAGAAGAAAGCCATTTCTCAAAGATATCCATAAAAAGTCTTGTTTAAAGTTTGCCACACAAAACTTTAAACGAGACACACCAAACATGTGGAAGAAGGTGCTCTGGTCAGATGAAACCAAAATCGAACTTTATGGCCACAATGCAAAACGATATGTTTGGCATAAAAGCAACACAGCTCATCACCCTGAACACACCATCCCCACTGTCAAACATGGTGGTGGCAGCATCATGCTTTGGGCCTGCTTTTCTTCAGCAGGGACAGGGAAGATGGCTAAAATTGATGGGAAGATGGATGGAGCCAAATACAGGACCATTCTGTTGGAGTCTGCAAAAGACCTGAGACTGGGACGGAGATTTATCTTCCAACAGGACAATGATCCAAAACATGAAGCCAAATCTACAATGGAATGGTTCACAAATAGACGTATCCAGGTGTTAGAATGGCCAAGTCAAAGTCCAGACCTGAATCCAATCGAGAATCTGTGGAAAGAGCTGAAGACTGCTGTTCTCAAACGCTCTCCATCCAACCTCACTGAGCTCGAGCTGTTTTGCAAGGAAGAATGGGCAAGAATTCCAGTCTCTCGATGTGCAAAACTGATAGAGACATACCCCAAGCAACTTGCAGCTGTAATTGCAGCAAAAGGTGGCGCTACAAAGTATTAGCGCAAGGGGGCCGAATAATATTGCACGCCCCACTTTTCAGTTTTTTATTTGTTAAAAAAGTTTAAATTATCCAATAAATTTCGTTCCACTTCACGATTGTGTCCCACTTGTTGTTGATTCTTGACAAAAAAAATATTTTTATATCTTTATGATTGAAGCCTGAAATGTGGCGAAATGTTGAAAGGTTCAAGGGGGCCGAATACTTTCGCAAGGCACTGTATATTCAATATTTGATATGAGCTGAAACTGGTTAATACAACTGAAATACAGCAGAACTAATTACTGATTGCTGTAAACAGTGTGTTGCTATAGTAACCAGCATTGCTCGGAACCAGAGGATTGCAATCATTTCATAAATATAATTGCATAGGAATAAACTTCATATAGAAACATAAAAAGTCGAAGTTTGGACAGTGAAGGTGAACATTATCTAATCTGTTTATGATAAAGTCTGTATTTATTAACAGGCAGTGGCTGTTTACAGACGGCTGAGTCATCGTCTGTCACTGATCATTTTAGCTAATTATATTCACCGGAGGAAACTGAAATCATTCTTGTTAAACATTTGCTGCTAAACATTATGTTATGTTATTTTAGTAGACTACGGTTAATTGTCTGGACCTGGTCTCAGTGACGGTGGAGCAGATGCACTTTGTATCAATCAACAAATGTATTTTTAGTCTCTGATTTTGTGTTTATACAATTTGATCTAATGCACTGACAAACTGGGAACAGCAGAGAAAGGAGGAGCAGACAGAGGATGGAGCAGACAGAGGAGGAGCAGACAGAGGAGGAGCAGACAGAGGAGGAGCAGACAGAGGAGGAGCAGACAGAGGAGGAGGAGACAGAGGAGGAGGAGACAGAGGAGGAGGAGACAGGAGGAGGAGACAGGAGGAGGAGACAGGAGGAGGAGACAGAGGAGGAGCAGACAGAGGAGGAGCAGACAGAGGAGGAGCAGACAGAGGAGGAGCAGACAGAGGAGGAGCAGACAGAGGAGGAGCAGACAGAGGAGGAGGAGACAGAGGAGGAGGAGACAGAGGAGGAGACAGAGAGGAGGACAGGAGGAGGAGACAGAGGAGGAGCAGACAGAGGAGGAGCAGACAGAGGAGGAGCAGACAGAGGAGGAGCAGCAGACAGAGGAGGAGCAGACAGGAGGAGGAGCAGACAGGAGGAGGAGCAGACAGGAGGAGGAGACAGAGGAGGAGCAGACAGAGGAGGAGCAGGATTTCCGAGGACTTTTAGTAAAACCTTATAGAAAAAAACCATAACAATTTGGGCCCAAAATTTGAGTATTGGCCTGAATAATGTCATTGTCCCATTCAATAGATACAACTTAAAGTTCAGAGTTCAGAGTCCCAAGTTCTGTCTCCCCCTCTGTCTCCCCCTCTGTCTCCCCCTCTGTCTCTCCCTCTGTCTCTCCCTCTGTCTCTCCCTCTGTCTCTCCCTCTGTCTCTCCCTCAGTCTCAGTCTCCCCCTCAGTCTCCCTCTCAGCCTCTCACTCACTCTCCTCCTCAGCCTCCCTCTCAGTCTCCGTCTCCCCCTTGGCCTCCCTCTCACGCTCTCTCTCCCTCTCCCCCTCTCTGCTGCAGGGCGGGGCCTTCTTCTTCCTGGAGCACGTAATCTCGGACCAGGAGAGCAGCTGGACCTACTTCTGCCAGCACGTGCTCCAGCCGTTCTGGTACTACTTTGGGGACGGCTGCGAGATGACGCGTCCCACCTGGAAGCTCCTGCAGGGGGCAGGCTTCAGCGAGCTCCACCTGCAGCACTTCCAGGCGCCCTTCATCTTCCTCATCAAGCCTCATATCCGCGGATACGCCGTCAAATAGATCCCAAAGGTCCAAAAAATAAATAAATAATCCCAATCTGGTGTCTGGCTCTAAAAAAACAGTAATGTTGACCATGCTTTATTTAAGTCTCTATAGAGCTGGTTAATCCGCCCTAAAGAGATCCCATTAACACCACGACTCCCAGAAATCTGATGGTACTAGACCTCCCAGAGCAGTCATTTTGACGGCTCCCACTCAACTCAATGGAGTTTGAAAAAATGTATTTAAAAAAAAAGTTGTTATTTAAAAAAGAGGAGCTGTGCATTATACACTTATAATGCACTTTGTGAATTCAAGTGTGTAACAAATGTTTATGCACTTTACTGAACTGGCCAAATATGCTTAAGTATAGAGATTATTTAACAAGTCTGAAAACAAAACTTTTTCTTTAGTAACTGTTCTAAAGAGAAATATATTATAAAATTATAATTGAAAAATTATAAATAGCACTTCCTATTGTTATATGATAATTACCTAAAATAATAATAATTTAAACTTTGTAGTTTACAAACAATAAAACCAGTCAAGTAAAATAAAGATCAGAAAAATAAATAAGAATAAATATTGTCAATACAAAAAAAGTGGATTTAAAACACAGAGAACACGACTCATGAAAAGTTAATTTCTGTCCTGGGCGTGCCTGATTCTGAAAAGATAGCACATTGTTGTAGTTTTATAATTTTTGATGAGGCGTCCAGAACTAAACTGACAAATTCTGGTTTAAATTTCATCACTTCAAGATGTGTTTCCAAAATGGTGGTAAAAAAAATCACCAGGGCTAAAGTTTCCCAGACTTTAGAAGGAGCCGAATCCCAGTCCTGGATCTCTTTGTGTTATCAAGTTTAAAGGAGACGTATTATGCAAAATCAAAAGTCTTCTTTGAGCTTACAACAGTGTTCTATCATCAAAAACAGACATTATTTTAGTTGTTTTACATCTATCCAGGCTAACATGAGGAATCTATGGCATAAATCGGGCTAAAACAGTTTGGTTCTATCGCTGGTTTTCATGTGTTTCTAACCTCTGTCACATCCTTTACATCAGCTTTAAAGACAAAAAAAGTGAAAAATAGAGGACCACCCTCCCTCAGCCAATGAGCCCAAAGTGTCAAATAGTGACTCACAGGTGACTCACCAAGTTAGTGGTCAGATAAACAACATAAAAAGTGAAGGAACCCCAATTTTAGGGCATAATATTTGCTATTTTGAAGGAATTTGCTTTAGAAAAACAAAAGCTTTTGCCTCCATTGCAACCTCTTCCCTTAATTGCAAAAATCACGACTGTTATAATATGCACATTTACCGTGTGTTTTACTAGGGGCAAAATCAATAATATACATGTGTGGCTTTCTTTGTTGGAACCAGTGGGGGGCGGGTCCCAGCTCAAAAGTGGCCAAAATGACGTGCGCTGACATGCTTGCAATACCACCCCGGGCCGATGGGGGTGGACCCAGAAGTAGAATTAGCCAATGCTAACATATAGCATTGACAGACCTCTCAAAAACGTCTTTACAGGATGGACCAAAAGTTGGCTCTTGGCCCAAAGCTCCGTTCCACATGTGTGTCAATGCTGAGGGGGGTGTATTTTTTTGGTCCACTCTAGTTTACTTGCTGTGAATTTTTGAAGTCTCTCGTTCAAATGAATGGGGTTGCGATGGCTGATGCATGCACAGATGCGTTTTTTCATAATTTTCTTGTGGGCGGGACCACTCGCGGCCATTTTGGATAGCTTCAGTAGAGCACATTTTTTGGCCCATTAGTTAGAACGGCGGAGATAGGGGCGTGACTGTCCGTTAATATATACAGTCTATGATTGGAACCTGTAACACTGCCCCCACCTGACAAAGGGACGACATTACAATCAAATATATAAGAGCATATATGTAATTATTGTTGCTTGCATTTTTAAGACTGTCCTAGTATAGAGACGTCGCTTGTATTTTGTATCAAAGTTTTATTTTTGTATAAAACTTCACACAAGCTGCAGCGCTAAACGCATGTTTCTGTAATCGCTGGTTTAACGTAATCCAACTGTGACTCTGCTGTAATCCTGGTTTTGGTGTGATTCAATAAAAAGAAAAATGCACAATCATTTTGAGTTTTGTTTTGTGTCATGTTCTTTCAAGAACAAACAGGTTTGTTCTGTTGAGAGACCAGAGAGAGGCCCTGAGAGAATAGAGAGGCCCTGAGAAACCATGAGAGACTAGAGAAAGACCAGAGAGAGACCAGGGTGAGACACTAGAGATACCAGAGAGAGGCCACGAGAAAATAGAGAGACCAGAGAGACTAGAGCTTTTATACTTAGTCACAGTTGTGTTTGAGAAGAATTAAATGCAGTTTTTTGTGTTTTGCTAAATGTGGTGTCATTCTTCAGACTTCTGGGTTCATATGTTTTGTTTTAGCTACATTTATAATTTAGAAAACAACTAGGTCGAGCTTTCAAAAATCTACACATCCTTGTCCTTGTGCTTTAAGCTGGGGTACTTAACCTTTTTCAATTCAATTACTGTCATTGTCACAGAAAACACTGCAGTTTGATACAAAGTGCATGAACTGCAGAATCCTCATGAATAAATAACTCGGGGGTAAACATGGGTGATAAAGTCCAGTTCTGTGCAAACATGGTGGCGCCACCTGTAGGTGAAAGCCTGATCCAGTCAGACCTTTAATGCTAAGCAGGGCAGGACCTGGTCAGTGCTGTGATGAGAGGCAGTGGCTGTTAAATGCCAAGCTTTTGTCGTCTCCACAGAAAGAGTCTTGTAAAAGTCAAAATATCGTAGACAAATCAGAACACAATATGCTGTCTTCATCTTATTAGAAAACATGCGTGTAAGAAAAAGTCTTATATGACTCATATTTGGATTTACAAAGACAGTATCAAAATAAAACAGATTTGTTGAGCCCATAATAGTGAATGTGACACAAACGGTTACTGAGCTAGAGGAGTTTACAAGTCAATGAAGTTGGAGCCAGAGCGAGTGAGAGAAAAACTTCGTCCATGTGCACTTCCCTTTTGGGCTGCATTGCATTAGCGTTTTGGCATTGTACATCTATATATAGTGGGCCTCAGTTTGGACACACCTGCTCTCATCTTTTATTTGGAAGAAGCCACTATGTTGGCGTAAGAACGATAAAACTGCGCCATCTTGCGGTAAATCACGGGAATATGATCCGTGCCCAAATGGATCAACTAATTAGAACATTTGATGATTTGCTAAATAACTAGTGTCCACAATGGTTTTCACTTTTATATCTGAAAAAGCTGATGTAAAGATGTGACAGAGGAAATGATACATGTTTGAAATCTACAGATAGAAGCAAACTGTTATGAGAGCATGGTTTTTACGACATGGATTTTTACGGTTTCAAAGTTACACAACCCAAGTTAAAATCTCTGGTCTAAAAGAAGCAAAACACACATGTAGTTGTAAAGAGTGTAATCTGGCAGGGGAATAAGACACCTGTTATTATTATGAATTCGGACGCAGCCATTTGGTTGGCGAAAAAGCGACTAAACACCGCCATCTTGCGGAGATCTAAGGGAATGTGATCCGCGCCCAAACGGATCAACTAATTAGAAAATCCGTAAGCCTATGATCCGCTAAAAAAAAAAAAAACAGTGTCCACTATGGTCCAAGTCCAGACCAGTCCAGACAAGACCTAACCAGACTGATCCTCATCATGGACAGTCTGCGCGGGATGAAGCAGAAACTATTCGCTCTTCTCTCCTACACCAGCACTTTTATCTACAACGACAAAATGCACGAATTCAAGCGGGAACTCTTTCGTGACCTCCCCCGGTTTCAGAGCGACGACGGCCCGCTGCGCCTGCTGGAGATCGGATGCGGGAGTGGGGCAAACTTCCAGTACTACCCGGGGGGCTGCGTGGTGGTCTGCAGCGACCCCAACGCGCACTTCGAGGAGTATTTACGCAGGAGCATGGAGGAGAGCGCGCACCTGAGCTACGGCCCGGTGCTGGTGGAGTCTGCGGAGAGGCTGGGGCCGGTCCAGGACGCCTCCGTGGACGTGGTGGTCAGTACGCTGGTGTTGTGCTCCGTGCGTGACGTGCGTAAAGTGCTGCTGGAGGTGCGACGCGTGCTCCGGCCTGTGAGTGATATGGGGGAGCGACCACAAACCTTAAACTGAATTTAAAGCTGGGGTACCTGACTTTTGGAATAAATAATGTATGTTTGTCCAGCGGAAAGTACAATCCGACCACAACATGCCATCTTTATCTTACTGTAGGAAATGAAATGTTATGTTTTGGATACTTTTAAGAATCATGCAAGTTACTATTTGACGCTTTGGGCTGAGAGCTGATTGGCTGAGTGAGGTAGGCCCTGTCGTTTTCACTTTTCAGGCTGGAAGAAGCTGATCTAAAGATGTGACAGGCCATAAATAGATGCATGCGAAAAATTGTGAGTGAATTTCGAGTTGGCATTTCTTTCTTTGAACAGTGAAAGCTGAGGTATCTATCAGTTTAACCAGAAACCAGAACTGTGTGATATAATCCATGTGACATACCAATCTCTCACAACACTACTTCTATCACTATAGTTTTCACATGGATTCATTTTGGCCTCTGTCAAATCTTTAGATCAGCTTTTAAGACAGAAAAGTGAGAAAAAGACTCACTCGGCCAATCAGCTCTCAGCCCAAAGCATGAAATGGTGACTCACATGGCTAATTCTTACAAATATGCATAAATCAATTAAATTAATGTTTGTATAGACCCAAATCACAACAGTTGTGTCAGTTGTGCCACTCAAAAATAAAATTAAAATAAAAACAGTGGAAAAAAGTGAGGAACCTCCATATTGAGAGACGGATCCGATCCCACAGGACTGAGGCCGTAGAACAAGGGCCGAGGTTGACTATAATGTAAAGTTAGATATAAAAATAAATAAATAAATAAAAAAATACTACAAGATCAAATTGGTCAAAAGTTAAAATAAACAACACACACCCATGCATCCAATATATTTAGCTGTATATTTGGATCACCTGCATTATCTAATTATTGTAATGAAATCCTGTTTGAGTAATGTTGCCAACAGACACACGCACAAACCGTGGTGAAAACATCTCCCAGTGGCTGAGGTCATAATTCTGTCTTTCAGGGAGGGGCCCTGTTCTTCCTGGAGCATGTGGTCTCCTCACAGGGGTCCTGGCTGTACTGGCTGCAGGTGCTGGTGGATCCTCTCTGGTCACGGTTGGGGGATGGATGTCATGTGACCCGGGACACGGGCACCGAGCTGCAGAGCGCGGGCTTCTCCCACCTCCAACTGAAGAACCTCAGCGAGCCCAAACTGTCAGCGGTCATTAGGCCTCACATCATGGGCTTCTGCATCAAGTGAACTGGGACATTTCTGGACAGTGTCATTCCGCTCCCTATGGACCTATGGCTCCAATGTTTTCGTCATTGTATTTCCTGTGTTCGAACTGCTTGATTCTCTGTTGTTGGTGAATCAACAACTTATTGAAGTCCTCCAAGACGTCTGCTGTGGTGATTTAGGGCTATTCACAAATTAATCAAATTCAATTGAACGTGAATAAGAGTTCATAACATTCATATATTTTCTTCCACTTTATCCCTCACCGGTTTGCAACAGTCTGCGGAGTAGGAAGTCTGGGCCTCTGTGTTTAGACCAGACTGTAAATATTAAAGCTCTGACACCTCACAAAGTTGGGAGTGTGACACAAATGGTTACTGAGCTTGAAGAGTGACCATGATGAATACTTTGAGCAAACGCTTTTCCATGAGCACTTTCCTTTTAGGCGTCCGTTTATCAAAAATCAGCTGCATGTCTTTAGTGAAACCAACGCACTGACCTGCCATGACGCATGACGCATGACACATGACGGGGGGGCAGGCTTTGATGCAGATCAGTTTGAGCAGCTTGTTGTGACTTTCACAAAGTGCAGCTCTCTGTGTCAGAGATCCTCCAGAGACGTCAGATCACAGCAGTGTCTGCTCACGGAGCTGCACCATGGAGGCATTTCATTATTTTCTGGTACTTCTTATCAGCGATCACATTAGCAGTACTGGTATCCAGTCACCATAGAATGTGAACTCGGGGGGAAGGCATATGTTAATTCGACTAATCATGGTTTAGTCTGAGTTTAGTCTTGTTTTAATCCTGGGTAAATCCTGTTTTAATCCTAGTTTAATCCTCTTCTTTCGGTATTTTTTCGAGTGTCTTCGTCTTCCTTATCTGAGCAGCTTGTGTCCCTGTGACCACTGTGTGGCTCACATGCATCCAGGCAAGTTGAGCCATGTTTATCTGCTGTGTGGCCGCATGTGATGAGTTGTCGTACTCCCTGCACCTGACAAACCTGCGACGCACACAGCGACAGACGCACAGCACCATTGACTTAACATAACACTGTAGCACGGTCTGGTCTTTAGGCTTCATCAAGCTAGAGCTAGAGGGTTAGTAGCATTGTCCATCTATATACAGTCTATGGGTCCAACTTTGCAAAAACTAAATATTAGGTGTACGTAACAGAGAGTATACATTTAACAGAATAAGAAAAAATAAATGTAATAAGAATATAGTAAGATAGGAAGCACAGTAATACAAATATATCGACACAGTATTATCTGTTGACCCTCAAGTCCAATAACATCCACATTTCTTGGACACAAAATAAAACACAAACACATTTGAATAAAGTGAAAATAGATTTATTTTGTTACACAATCACAAATTTCAAAACCAGCTTGTTCTTTTTGTTTTTGCCTAATAAATAGATCACCTGGACAATGTGCTTTTTTTCCCTGATTGTCAAAGTATCTGGCAACAAAAACAACCAACCAAATTTCTCCATTGCACAGAACTTAGGAATGACGCCTGTAACACATGGGAAACACAAATAACACATGCGAAATACAGAACATAGTTAAAAATCTCAAGAGGTTAAGAACAAAAAAATATATATATTTACTTTTTAAAAACACAAAAATAAAAGAGAAAAGGGATAAAGTGAGAACCGCTTTTCAAACTTCCCAGTATTAAAATGTACACGACTATAAATGTTATAGCGGCGTTAAAAAAACAGCAGGAGGAAAAGAGACGAGCTCGAAGCCAGTTCTGGACCAGTGTCTGCGCCCCGTTTCAACCAGCACTACTCGGCCCTACTCTACTCTAATCTGCTCTGCTCGGCCTGATTGCGTTTCCATTTAGCTTTAGGACCGGGTAACGTATCCTAGCAACCTAGACACAACAAGCTAATATCTGTGGAAATTCCTTAGTGACTGGCTTAGCAGGAATCTTGGCATTTCGTCCTGTTGCAAGCTAAGACTTACTATACTAACCCTAACCTCAACCAAATAAACTGTTCTAACACGTATCCAGATTGTGACTCTTAAATGCAAATTGGACAAACTTTGGTATTTAGTAAATATTTACGTTATGTTGCAAGGTTTTGAGTCCCTTTCAGCAGCACACCCTGGTAATCAGAACACTTTTGTCCCAGCTCGGGTCTGGGTAGAAGAACCATGGCCAAGTTGGTACTAAAAAACAAGCTGGTACCGGTTAAACAGGGCTGATGGAAGAGTAGAGCCGAGAAGAGTAGAGTAGAGTTGGGCTAAGTAGGGATGGTGGAAACAGGGCTTATGTATGTACAATTATTACACTTAAAGTCTTCAAACCTTCAATCCTGGGATTTTTAACATGAGAAAATGCAGAACCACCGCAATATGGAGCTGTTAAGTGATGAACGCAAAAGTATGATATTTTCAGATATCACCAGTCGATTGAAGCAGAGCTGGAGATCTCGACCCAAGCCCCAAAAGTTTAATACGTATGATTCCACTTTGGGTCGGTTCTGGTTAAATCAGTATTGCCGCAATACAGGTGAACATCAGGCCTGGGTTGGATCTGCTCCGTAAAACCCGCAGACTACAGCTCTAGTTTGAATATAATCATTTCTCGTCTGTCTTTATGAGAATGGCAGGATTAGACAATGGTTTCTCATCATGAATTTGCATTTACACGAACAAAAGAAATATTGAGCATTATTTTTGTCCATCTAATATGATAATGGAACTCTTAATTTGTCGTTTGTTTTTAAAAAGTGAAATAATATCTTGAGAATAAATGGTGAGTCAAGTATGAAGGGTAACTGTAACTCCCTGTGCTACCGACGTACTTAACTCTGTTTTTCTCCAAGGTGCTGGTCCCAGAACCGGACTGTTCCATCAGAGAAGAGCAGAAGCTAGTTACCATAGAAACATTGTTTACGGTCTGCAGTTAGCCTTTGACAAAAAAAAAAACCTTACTTATAATCAAACTGGTGGAAAAAAGCTCACTATTTAGATTGTCAGAACTCCATTGACTTGAGCCGTCAAAATGACTGTTAATAATCCACATTCAGAAGAGCCTTTGGGACACAGCTACAGGTTTTGTGGTGATATTATTGCCGTGGAATATAATACATAAGAACATGGAATTACAATCACATGTTTAGTTCCACTTTTGCTTTTACTTTGTGCTTTTATTTCTGGACAACAGGCGTCGCAGGCCCACATCGCTGCAGATCATTTCAAATCCAGAGAAACTGATAATAATGTCAGATGCATTTATTGGGGCTGATTTTGGGCGGTACCTTTTTGCTGAAATATTCAATTATCTTTTCTTCATTTATACATTTTGCAAAAGAGTCCATTATTGCATATAAAGGTAAACTGAACTAACTACTCCCCCTGCTGGTCAAAAACTAGTAAAGCTGCACATTTAATCTCTTGAAATACATTTGAGGTGTCATCAAGGTGTAAAGGCTATGTTTAGTTTAAAAATCTGTTTATTGTAATAAAAGGTCTTTGGGAACATATTCTTCTGAAATGCCTTGTTTTATTGAAAGTCTTTTAAATTCTGATACGTTGTAGAATCAGATTGTGAGAGCCTGCAAAACCCACTTCACAAACTGTGCGCTGTTAGCATGCTAGTTGCTGTTAGCTTTACCTTAACAACAGTCGTCATGTGAATTGTGCTGGGAATGCCTTAGGAAAGTGGGTCAAAATGTTACTTTAAAATTTTTCTAATTTTCTTACACAAAAAAATAAACATCTTAAACTTTCTGAAATTGTACAATATGAACAGAAGCCGATTTGGAAATGCGTATCGTCAATCCCATGGGGCTGTTTAGTGCGACGTCTCACAACAAGCATCTCTCACTTTCACAAACAAAGCTGCTGCAAAGAAGCACCCAAATGTTTACTTTGTTTTTGACTTAAAAGCTACGGTACCCAACTTTCCAAACAGTGAGAAACAAAAAATAACTTGTTCCTCCAGTTTGGTTTTAACACTGAATTTCACATGTATTTAGTTTTGGCTCCTGTCACAGCCTTAGACCACCCTCACTCTCAGTTGCAGGGTACTCGCGCATTAAAAGGGAACCAAACATGCAGAATTAAGAGCAGTTATGCTTTAGTTTGGAGGTAAGAAAGTAAAGAAGGAGTTTTGTTGACTGATTTAACAAAATAACAATTACGTTTATGGTTTAGAGTCAAACTAATGATATTATATATTCCTGAAAACTTTGGCTTTAAGATGAGGTGTAACAAGCCACAGTCGATATATGGTTTGGATGATAAAAATAAAAAGTCTGACATGAAGCATGAAGGGTGAAAAATGCCTGTAACTCGCTGGGGTACCACCAGAGGGAAGAGAAAAATTGGTTTCGTTTTCAAATTTGGCTACATTTCTCTTGACAAATTGAGAAAACTAATCCAAGGCCAATACTTTTGTTTTAAAAAGAGTGTAAGTCATAGTGGTACATAGACGTCAAACCATTATAGGACTGAGACGGGGCTTTTAGACAGAAGGGGGCAGAGCTACACAATTGTGCCAGAAGTTTCTGATATGAGCATGGATGGATCTGAAAAACAACTCCAGGTTGAACAGGGTCCTTTTTGACATTGGAACAATGCGACACGGAGATAAGCTCAAAAAGGTTGATTCCAAAAAGTGTCTCTTTTAGAGCGTTTTTTTTTACGTCATCTCTCAACAGCCCCATAGCATTTGCAGAAAACTCAAAAACGGTTCCAAAATGGCGTCCCTGAATAGATAAAACAGTTCTTGTATTCTGTCGTCATGATCCACAAACCTGCAGTTTTCCCGCTGATCGATCAAGCTGCTGTTTCGGATTCACCGTTCGCCGTCTTGTTTTTTTTTTCTTTTAACCAGTTTTCACACAATACAAGTCCTTTAAAGTTTTGAGTTCCTCTATGAGCGTCTTGTTTTGGTTTTCCAGAACAGCCACGCGGTTTTCCAAACATTTCACATATTCCTTCTTCTTTCGCCGACACTCGCGAGCTGCCTCCCTGAAAGACACGGGACGACGAAGACGTTCAAATAACGGCCGGAGTGTGGTATTGACCCTTAAATATGATCTTGAGAAGGTTTCCATGTTTTAAAATGCAACTCAATCGTTTTTCACCTGTTTTTGGCAAGCCGGATCTCCCTTTTCATGGTGGGGTCGTCGCTCTTCGTTTGGGACATTCCCGTTGTCATGACGAGGGCCTGGCCGGCGCTGGACGAGGGCGCTGTGCGGATCTGGTACGTCTGCATCTCCCCTCCGGCTCCTGAAACCACAGCAACAGGATCACAGCTGAGAGAACACTGAGGATTTTAATAAATACACATACACTGCATCTTTTTAAAAAGGTATCAACAAAATGGAACGGACAATCTTGATTTTTCTGAAACCTATATATTAATGTATTATTTGAAAAATGACCAGCTGCTACCAGGATTGTGAAGAATGTAACTGCTCTGAGTGTGATGTCATAGCGGTACAATGACATCATACTGTTACAGGACTGAGAAAGAGGGGGGAGCGGAGGTACAAGCTTGTGCCAGAAGTTCCTAATATTAGCAGGGAGGGATCTAAAAACAACTCCAGGTCTGTGATTGATGTGGGAAGATTGATGTAACAGTATTTCACATTTCTGGACAGTGGTCATCCCGCTCCTAAGGACCAATGGCTCCTGTGCGTTTGTTATTATTGCATTTCCGGTGTTTGATTCTCTGAACTGTTGTTGGCGACCTGCCAGTACGCTCACCTTGTACCACCACCTGGTTACTGGGCACCAGGATCTGCTGTCCGTCTGGAGTCTGGGCGTACTGCAGGATGGTGGTCCCAGGACCCGCTCCACCGCTGGGCATGGTCAGTGCCTGGAGCCCTTCGGAGCCCGTGGCCAACTGGATTGTCCCATTTGCACCGATAGTGACTACAAACACAGACAGGGTTACAAATGTTAACATTAGGCAATATTTCTGTTCAGTTTGAGTTTTAAAGTTGGGGTGCCTATTGTTTGATATAAAAAAAAAAGCTGTACCTCTCTCTCTAAACAGTTTGCTTCTATCACTAATTTTCACCTGCATGTTTTAAGGCCTTTTAGATCAGTTTGTGCAGACAGAAAAGTGAAAAAGAGGACCACCCTGGCTTACGATAGCGCAAAAAAAATAAAAAAAAATAAAAATAACAGGGCATCCTTTAATGCTAATGAGCTTAGACTAATAACTTTTCATATAAAGTTCTCATCCACGGGTGCAGCCCCGCAGCGTGTCTGGGTCCTGAGAGTCTCCATGGTGTCATATACCAGGAGAATCTGGTCACGGAGCAGTGCCATGGATGTATTATATTATTTACAGTTACAGTAGAATGTCCACTCAGGGTGAAGACCAACACTGAACCCCATCGTCAGCCCTGGTTTAGTTCTTGGTTTGGTTGTTTGAGTGTTTTCTTCTTTCTGTTTTGACCGGCTTGTGTCCCAGTGGCCACTTTGCTGCTCTCTGATTGGTTACCACACAGTAAACATGTACATGTTAACTGTTATTATAAAGGGAAGGCTGTAGTTCTAAGGGGAGCAGAGCTGTGGTACCGTATTGTCCGGTGCTGGTCTGGTAGATGGGTGTGGACGGGACCCCGCTGACCCCGGTCTCTGCTCCGGCCTCTGAGGACAGATCATTGAGGATTTTTCTGGGAAAGAGAAGAATAATTATATATATATGTTTTATTTTTTTTTCATTTCATTTCATTTCATTTATTTCAATGAAATATATATATATATATATATTATATATATATATTTAATATATATAATATATATATTATGTATATAATATATATATTATATATAAATATATATATATTAGGGCTGTCCAAAATAGCGCGTTATTAACGCGTTAACGCAAATCAATATTAACGCCGTCATTTTTTTTTATCGCGCGATAAAAAAAAAAAAAATAAATAAAAAAAAAGAATTTGAAGTGGGAGATGGGGGGAGGGGTTAATAAAAAAGGCAATACAAGCAAACAGTATACAGTCATAGATATACCGAAGGTAAACAGAGAAACAGCATAGAGTATTTACATGAACAAATTTACAAAATATTTACAGATTGTTTATCATCATCATAATGACACCATGATGTTTCTATACAGTCTATGGTCTATACCCACACATACACACACACACCCACACACACACATTGAAGGGGCTTTTTGTTACCAATTATTTATTTTGTCATCCATTTATTGATGATTTTGCATCAAATGTTAGTGTGTAATATAACACTACACATTGTTTTCAATAAAAAAAGCAATTGCACACAGCACGCAAATGTGTGACTAATTTGCGATTAATCGCAAGTTAACTATGAAATTCATGCGATTAATCGCGATTAAATATTTTAATCGTTGGACAGCACTAATATATATATATATATATATATTTTTTTTTTTAATTTCATTTTATTTATTTCAATGAAATTATATATATATATATATATATATATATATATATATATATATATATATATATATATATATATACATATACATATATATATATATACATATATATATATATATATACATACACACACACAATACTTATTTTAGGCAGTAACAAGTTCATCAATTAATCGCAAGTAATCGGTTATTGAATCAGTTGTTAACTAATCATGTCCAAACTGAGGCCCGCCGGTCAAATGTGGCCCTTCCTCCTTGGAAAAACGGTATATAAAACAGATTATTGTAACTTTGTTTGCGTCAACCTTATTATCATTATTATTATTATTATCAAGAATATTTTATAAACAAATTTTTTTTCAACAAGGAACAATGTTAAATCTTGAGAAACTAAAGTTTCCACTGAACGAGAACAGATGAGATCACAGGAAACAGGACGGAGGAATGTAGAGTGGTAATTCAAAATTTTCCAAACTTGTGAAAAATGGCTATAATTTCATAAGTCTTTACTGTTGTATGCTGTTATCATCCAAATTATTATCACACAAATGATTACAATGGACTGTGAAACATGAAGAAGAGTGAATTAAGGTCTTTGCGAGATTCAAAAACTATAGAATAATTTTTGGCCTACTTTTGTCCAGTGCCTCGAAAACGCAGTTTACAGCAAAACATCTCATTTATGGATTGTCCGTGTGCTGAAGCGCCCCCTGGAGGCTTATAAGAGACAGACGAGAGGAAAGCTTATGTACCAATATATTTTGTAGCAGGCCGCCACAAGTGCCTGTTTTAAGAGGCCGTCATAGTACTATTTATAATTAACTATTTACATTTCCCTTAATGGATGACCGGGTGACAGGACCCAGGTCAGTTTGTGGTCACCTGTAGGAGGGTCTTCGGGCCAAACTCTCTCTCTTGGGCGTCGCGGCTCCGCTGTCTGACGAGTCCTGGGAGTCGTCAGAGTCCGATCCCTGAGGCTGAAGACACAAGGACAATATGGGAACATGCAGAGACAATATGAAGATGTGCAACAATATTAAGACAAGCAGAGGCAATATGAAGACAAGAAAACACAATATGAAAACATGCAAAAATATGAAGACTTAAAATGGAAAAAAAAATGGAAAAAAAGACAAAAACAGTATGATAACATTATAAACATTATAAACAATACGAAGACAGGAAAAATCAATATGCAGACCTGTGGAGTGTGCCCTTGTGGAGACTGGATGACCGAGGACTGAGCCGACTGAATCACCCCCTGAACCTGGAGCTGTCCCCCGGGCAACTGCAAGACGGTGATTGGCGTTCCACCCAGAGACATCTGCCAATCAGAGAACGGAGAGACTGACAACAGAAAGTACAGAAAGTACAACTATGACATACTGACAACAGGAAGCACAACTAAGACTGAAAATGAACTCAAGCGTTACAGTGGAGACGGTTAAAAAGGTTATCGGCAGAATGTGAAGATAAATCGTCTTAACACTGGGAAATTCCCCCATAAATATTTAGTTTTGCACCAGATTTGTAAGCCATTTAGATAATGTATACATTTTTTATTCCCCTCATTTGACTAGTGCTAGAACCAGGTTAAAAAAGCAGCAAAAACAGTTTGAAAGACCACCAAATGCTAATTGCTAGAAAGTAAACCGTGTTGTGCTACAATAACAAGAGTTGACTCTTCTCAGAACCAGAATCAGTCCAGGACTAGCCTGGCCTTCGCCATCCGTACACTCCATTTAATCATCATTTCACTGCTTGTCTGGGTCTGGTCCCTATTTTAGCGATTACAATCGGTTGAATTTCGACCGACCATTCAGAGAGCGCGGAAGGCAGGTGTTGTAGTTAGTTGTGGGTGACGTCAAGAGTTTGCGTCGAACAGGCAGGTTAGGGTTAGGGTTAAAAAATTGTGGCACTACTCCGCACGGGCTCCGTTAGCGGCAAAGGAGATGGCTAGGCTAAATGCTAACAACAGTTTTTTTAATTGCCATATAGAAAGTTGGTCACCAAGCAAAAGAAAATGGCTACGTAGAGCAACTCACAATTAAAAATTAAAAGATAAATTCAGAAAAGTAATGACATGAAATAAACTAAATATTAGATATAGAAAAAGTCAAAGTTAGGAAGACCAAGAAGATACAAACCAAAAGCCGTCAAAATGACTGCTCTGGGAGTTCTTGTCTCAATCAACAAACCTCTCCAGATTGTATCGTTGGGATCATTTCCACCTTTTGTCTCGCGGTTGCTCTCAAACACACACTCATTATACTATAATACTGTTGTACATATTTTAGTTGAAACTGGAGCACCCAGATGAAAACCTACAGACACATGGAGAACATGCAAACTCCATTCAGACATGCCTCGTTGGGAGAGGAGCACAAGCGCTAACCACCAGTGTCACAGCACCAAGGTTTCGTTTAGTCTGGGGCAGCGACATGATTCAAGCGGCTCAGAAGCTGGAAAACAACACGTACGCACAGACTAACTTTATCTTACGCAGTAGAATAAAGAAAACAATAAAAATCCCTGATGTGTCGCGTCATCGTCGAGCCCAAAACTCTGCAGACGACACGCTGCAGAACCAGGCGACACAGACACAAGCTGTGACAAATCCTGAGAGAGAGAAACCACAAACTGACGCTGCATCATGGAGTCATAAAGGCCTCAATCATGAAGCTGCTAAAGACCTGCTGAGACTCTCTTTGTTCAAACCTGTTGATCTTCTTCCAACAGCAGAGTAGTGAGGTCATCGTTTACTTTCATTATTACCACTAGAACTCCCAGAGCAGTCAATTTGACGACTTTTCATTTTGGAAGGGTAATGACTCGGCTCATGTACATCGCCGGTCTTTATCACTGTGTGAGCGTTTCTTTATGAACTTTATTACTATGTCATTATATGAACAAAATAATATTGTTTAATAGTACTTCCTTTGACATCCAGAGAAGTCAAAATTCCAATGTTGCCGTTTTGGTCCTCTGGCAACCTGCTCGTTACCACAGCGACACATGTTTACCTGCCAGCAGTTAGCGTGTAGCCTTGCACAAAACAAAATTCTGCTGTACTCTAGCTGTGTTTGGATGTTGAAAAAGAACAAAGCCAAAGAGCAAAAGATCAAGGCCAGACGTGGTGACATAATGTGTCGAAACAAAACACCAACTCAAACTCCACCAACTGGAGACAAAACACACCAACTATTTTTACACATTCAGGTCATTACACAGAGCTGTCTTCTTCCACAAACTAAACTGTGGTTTATTACTAGAGGATGAATGATTATTGACCCGAGTGGTTATGTACGAACAGCCCGAGTCCTGGATCTACAGCTTGTTCGTCCGTGGAAACGGATCCATCTCTCAAAATGTGACTCCTAAAGGTTTTTCACTTTCCCCCCAGTTTTTTTTTGACTGGTTCTTTGCCGATTCAGCGGGATCTCAGAACGTACATTTATGGATAGTGGTGACCCCGCTCCCTATGGACCAATGGCTCCTATGGGTTTTCAAATCACCCCCATGGTCGGACGGCAAGCTAATCAAAAAAGCATTTTCTATGGCTGCAATGAGAAAATTGCAATTATATAAAAGTGTTCAATGATATTTTCACAAGGACAACCTTATAAAGGAAAGAGCAGCGCGTGCAACACCCCAAACAGACAATAGGAAGTTCACCCAAACACGGCTCCACGGTTCAGACTGTGTGTAGTTTTAGAACATTTTTCCCCGGAGCCACATGTGAACAACAGAGTAGAAAACAGTTTGGTTTTACTGCTGTCTAAATCCTCGATGTATTTGGTCGTTCACACTGAACGCACCTCTGGAGGAGAGTTATATTTAAATGAAATTAAACATATCAGCGACAGGCTCGGTGAGTATCAAAGACCTGGGTAAAATTCCTTTGTTTCTGTTGTGGAATTAGTGGCTCATTAGTAGCTTCTGTGTACTAGGGCTGTGGACAAATATTCTAAAATAAAAATAAAAAAGTAATCACTTTTTAAAAAGTATTTTAAGGTCTCATCACTGAATATTTGAGCCCTCAGGGCAAATGACTTAATACCTCCATATTCTTGCAATAGAGTGCATTATGGACTTATGTTCATACAAGAATATATTTATTTGCACTAGAGTATACAGGTTTATACTTTTTATACTTTATTTCTCAAATTTGCAGTAAAAAGTCACAGCTTATTCTGGGTTCAGTTACAGTTATTGTTACGGTTTACGTCCCACAATTCGATATAATACAAAGATCACTGTTTATAAACTAATTGTTACGTGACAAAGCTTCGCAGCAGGCGACAGACACAGACTAAAGCAGGAGCAGCACACAGCGCCTCTTCTTCTGCACTTTGAAGCTTTTCGCTTTCCTTTCTGTGCGTTACCTGCTTCGTCATCTGTGAGTTTACACGAGAAGAGTCTGTGCCATTTGTGCCAGGCTGAACTTCTTCCATTTTCCACTAAAAACAAATAAAAAAGTGAATGGATGCCTCCTGAGTTTGTGGCGAGAATTAATCGGTTCGGTCCACTTTGCGCCATTATAAGTCTGATGTAGTTCAACGTAATTAAAGCTGGGGTATCTAACTTTCTTAGTGTGTAATTTAAATTTTGTCTCTCAAAAAGAAGGGCACTGGCACTGGCTCAGAACAGAGGAGTCTCTCGCCTCGTACCAAAGTACATCTGTGACATGTTAGTGCCATATGAACTAACTCTGAGGAGCACAGGGACTGGCCTCCTGCTGGGACTCCGAGGAGCACAGGGACTGGCCTCCTGCTGGGACTCCGAGGAGCACAGGGACTGGCCTCCTGCTGGGACTCCGAGGAGCACAGGGACTGGCCTCCTGCTGGGACTCCGAGGAGCACAGGGACTGGCCTCCTGCTGGGACTCCGAGGAGCACAGGGACTGGCCTCCTGCTGTTGCAAAGGGTCAGGACTAAACATGGGGAGGCATCATTTCAGATTTATGCAACTAAAATCTGGAACAGTCTTCCTGAAAACGTGAGACAGGCTTTTACTGTGACAATGTTCAAATCCTGGTTAAAAGCAGTTCGGTGCATACATATTCACGTTGGTAGTATTCAATTTGAATTCCTTGTCACTTGTGTGATTGTTTCCATCTTGTTTTGTTCTGCACTTTTGAGTCGCATTGTGGATGAACTGTGCTACACAAATAAACCTGCCTTGCCTATACTGTGAAGAAATCAGACCACAACATGCCATACTTGACAGAAAGAGCCCTGTGAGACATTATTTGTCGCTTTGGGCAGAAATCTGCAGATGTGACACAGGCCAAGAACACATGCATGCGAAAAGTAGTGATAGGAACTGTTTTGAGCGCGATGTCGATTTCGTTCAATTGTTTCTTGTTTGGAAGTTACATATCCCAGCTTTAAGTCATATAAAAAAACAAAGCAGTTAAATATGGCATTTTAATTTGTTACGGACATAAATAAAAAATCAGGGATTGAATGGAACGCGACAACTTGGGGACTTCCTCTTCGCGATGGCCAATACTAGCGCGTATTTGCAGTTATGAACGCATAGGCCCCAAGATACAACTTTTTAAACTTCAGTTCAAAATAAATGCCTTTTTTTCCAGATTACACACACATCACCACACGCTAACTAACGCCTGCGTGCATTCCAGTTGTCAGCAATAAACAGACACGCGTTTTTACTATGGCACTAGCTCGGTAAAGTGCATACGATCGTGCGTAAAAGCAGTCTTCCAAACTGCTCCAAAAGCCACAAACTTGGGCACTCTCAGCGCGCAATGGATGAGCGCTTGTCTGAGTGAGGGAAAAATGTGCAACTCTGTCAGAGGCACGCAACTTAGCGCGTCAATACACGTCAGCGATACGAAGCACCATTAAAAAGCTAACGACAGCTTCCCAGAGACAGACGCGGCGAGCCCTGGGAGAGGCAAGCCGCCATTAGAGCGCGCAACACGGCTGGCGGGTTTTTACCTTTCCCCCTGGGTCTGTCCGGCTCCGGATCGCAGCGTGGAGGCGGCGTGAGGGCTGCGTGAGGGGAAACCGGGTGGGAAAGTTTGTGAAAAGCCAAAGCTAAAGGGCTAAAGAGCAGATATGTCGCTAAAACACCACACGGCACGGCACTTTTTTTCCGCTAAAGGAAGAGGGCGGAGCGCGAGGCCGAAGGAGCATGACGTAATGGCTGCTGTGCGCGTGCTGATTGGTAAAAAATGTGCAACAGATTAAAAAAAAGTGTGTGCGAAAGTTCAGTGGCCTAGTTTCTGTCTGTGTGTGTCATGTATGGTGTTTGGAGGACGCTCAAAGCAGTGCATTTTTATTTATTTTTTTAACTTGATTTGATTTGGTCGGGACCATAATTCCTTTGGTATAAATATAGAATGATAACCACTTTATTAACACAAGAACTCTCAGAGCAGTCTATTCGACGGCTTTTAGTTTTGGTAGTTGAATTGCTCATCGTATGTAAATGTTTGGTCTCCATAAGTTTTTATGTTTATAAATATGTAGTTTATTTCTAGTACTACACAATTTTTATTTTCTTTTTTGAAATGAAATTACCTTTTTTTTAACGTGAGCAGTTATTTGCCATATTTACTATAGCAACACATTCTTTACTTAAACAAACTGTTTTAGCTGTATTCACCAGTCTCAGTTCTTAGTTTGTAAAAAAAAAAAAAAAAGAAAATGGTGGAAAATGTAACTACTTGGGAGGAATTTCTTTGAATTTCATTGGTTTATATGGGAGGAGTCAAAATGACGGCTCTGGGAGTTCAAGCAATGTTTACATTGAGTTTTACAATACAATACAATACAATTTACTCTTGTATAGCCCTGAATCACAACAGAAGTCATCCCAGAGGACTTAACAAAACCATTTCATTATTACACTTTTACACACAACACTTGGTGAGAGCTAAAGAGAGTACATTGGGAGTGCACTGACAATGTGACATCACAATAGTGTTAGCTTTAAAATGGAAAACACAGATTTGAGCAAGATATCTGGAGCCAATGGGCATAACTTGGTGCTATAACAGGAAGACATCTGATTGGTCAATCCTTATATACTGCTGTCTGTCTGTCTGTCTGTCTGTCTGTCTGTCTGTCTGTCTGTCTGTCTGTCTGTCTGTCTGTCTGTCTGTCTGTCTGTCTGTCAGTCCGTCCGTCCGTCCGTCCGTCCGTCCGTCCGTCCGTCCGTCCGTCCGTCCGTCTGTCTTTCTTTCTTCAGCGTCCCAGCAAGAGGCCAGTCCCTGTGCTCCTCAGAGTCTGAGTTGGTTCATATGGCACTAACATGTCACTGATGTACTTGAACAACGCAGAGCCATTTAAAGTCACTTCTACAAATAAAGAGTGCATGTATGTGTTATTACGCATGTGACTTGTGCGCATGAGGACAGAGAGAGAGAGAGAAAGAGAGCTGTGAGGCACAAAACACATTTCGAAAAAGAAAAAAAAAGAACTGAAATGACGTAATTTTCGTTCACACTTTCCGAGAAGAGGACTCCCAGATCTCACACTGCACCTGCTGCGACAAGAGTGAGTCAAGATCTTCATGATGATCGTGTGCAAACCACATTATTCGTCTTAGTTATTTATGATAATCTCATTATTTCAAATACTACTCACTTTTGCAGTATACTTTTTAAAGCAGAGGCTGAGGAATGATGCAGGCCTACAGTTTATGTCAAATTCACTGAATAATATGATATTGTCTTTATCTGGGCTATAAGGACGAACTTAGATGTTCAGTCATATAAAATCTTTAGAGAATAATCTGTTGGAATTACACATCACAAATTTAAGTAATTACTGTATTGGTCATTGATAATCTTTAATCCAGTCCAACGGTTCCCAAAATATGGAGCCAATCTAATGATTCCCAGGGGCCCCTTTATCTTAACACTAGGACTCCCAGAATTCTGAAACTCCCAGAGCTGTCATTTTGACTGCTCCCATCAAAACCTATGGAGTTCCGAAATAATCCCAAAAGTATTATATAAAGTAAGTATTGTTCATAAGGTTTTTCCTTTTACTCACTGTCATTACAGTTTTTCTCGGTCGCTTTGGTGCATTTTTCACATCGTTCTTCACATTTGCACAACTGTTGGTGCATTTCTCAGAACTATTAGTGCAAACTGCAGAACCTCGTAGATAACCTGCAAAAGTGCGTCACTTTCTCAAAATGAAAAGTTATGTCCTCAAAAGCAAGTTCAAACGTCAATGAAACTATGTAGTCAAAATAATATGTCCTAACAACATTGAGTATGAACATTACAGTCAAATGACTTAGTCATGTTTTCATTGTGACACTTCACTCTCTCTGTGTTTTCAGAGTAAAAAAGTCAGATCTCGGTGACACTTGAGCACGACTATGAGCACACTATACACGACCTATACGGCCATTTACAGTAAAAACTACAGTAAAGTTACACAAAGACTGTATTTAGAGAGTTAACTGACATTCTGTAACATATATATATGTGTATGTATGTATGTATGCACTGTATGTATGTGTGTATCTATGTATGTATGTACTGTATGTATGTATGTATGTATGTATGTATGTACTGTATGTATGTACTGTATGTATGTATGTATGTATGTATGTGTGTATCTATGTATGTACTGTATGTATGTATGTATGTATGTATGTGTGTATCTATGTATGTACTGTATGTATGTATGTATGTATGTATGTATGTATGTATGTGTGTATCTATGTATGTACTGTATGTATGTATGTATGTGTGTATCTATGTATGTATGTACAGTATGTATATGTATGTATGTATGTGTGTATCTATGTATGTATGTACAGTATGTATATGTAAGTATGTATGTGTGTATCTATGTATGTATGTACAGTATGTATATGTATGTATGTGTATAGCATATGCTCTTTGTATTTCTGTTGCACAATGCTGTAGAATTGCAGGCACATACAGTATACTGTATATGTAGTATGCACATAGAACAAACATACAAGAAATATCATTATGGTAGAACTGTGACAAAAATGAACAATAAAGCATACCTCATGAGTGAAAGCTGAAATTCACCTGAGATAAATTGTTCAATTTAGGAAAGATTTACAGGAAAAAAGATGAAGGAGTGTATGAAATTAGCTTGACAGTTATGATTTTGAGAACTAGTTCAACAATTTTGTATGTGATGACCAAAGCGATGAAATGAGGACAGTTAGTTTTATAGTGAATGACTATTCAGAAGTGATAAGTATGTTTCATTTTGACTGACAGGACAGAAGCAAATGATAAGGTTAAAAAAACGCTGAGAATTGTATGAAAGTTATTGATACATGAACAAAAGCATTTGAAATGTGTTCAGAGGAATGAGAAACTGCCATGATCATGTGCACCAATGACCCAATGTTGTGGAAGTTGAACAAATAGTTTTGAGAACTTTAAGTCTGATGTGAAAAATGCACCAAAGCGACTGAGAAAAACTGTAAGTGCTGGTTACTGGTGAATGTAACTTATATTATACCAATAACTGTTTGTTTTGAATGCTAACACTAACTGCAGATGGTAAACTGTGTGTTGCTATGGTAACTCGCACTAGCTCTTCCAGCTGACTCAGGGTGCTTTCACACCTGTTGGTCCACTAAAGTGGTTCACTTGGGCCCTAAAGTTGTTACAATGTTGCAGTTCTCAACTAGTTTGGTTCTCATTCACACCAGTGTTTTTGCAAATGAACCAACCACTGTGGATGTTACATATTCTGCCCATGTGGTGGCGCTGTTCACAAAATACTGTGTATTGGATGATGTATGTGAAACCTGATTGGTGCAGGATGTGAAGAAGGGAAGAATACCAGAAGAAAACAAACTTGTCAGATCCTTAACGATGAACTGTGCTGCTCTAGTGTGAGGCTATTTTTTTATCATTGTTGCTTTGTGCAGCACAAATACTGTTGTTCCAGTTCCAGTATGTATCACAGATTCAGCACGAGAACAATCTGCGGGTGTTTTTGACTACTCTATCATATAAAAAAAACAATGTGTGTGTCAAAAAGTGAGCTACGCAACAGAGCAGGGCCATATTGAGGCCGGTCTGCGTTCTCACCAGCAGTGAACCAGACTGGAGTTCGCATGGAACCGTACCGAGACCAGCCTCCTAAGGCGGTCTCGGTACGGTTCTTTAGTCCGGACCAAATTTAACTGGTCCACTTTCACACCTGCTCAAACGAACCGTACTTGCAAGTGTTCCAGACTCCAGTCCGTTTTAAGTGGACTAAACCAGGACCAGTCCGGGACTTTATCACCTCAGGAAGTATATTTCTCGCTGTCCTTTCAAAGTAAAACAAAGTGACCACACTCATATTGTTCTGGGTCATTTTATTAAGTTTACAAAAAAATAAACAAAAAGTAAGTCATTTATTAACATAAGTAAGTATGACAGAAAGTGGAAAAACTCACTCGAAATGAATTTGTACAAAGGTCCCGTAGTTTTAACCAGTGCAAAGTGCATTTATGAGATTGTTGTTGTTGCATTGTCTTCAGCGGTGGGTGTTCGGGTTCAGAGGATACAAAATAATATATTTACATGTACAGTATTCAGCACAATAACAGTTTATACAGTTCTTCTATTGCAGTGCGTCTCAACAGGTGGGCTGGGGTCAACGCGGGGGCCACAGGAAAATAAATAGACTTAATAGGCATCAACACGTACGCACACACACACGCACATACACACGCTCATGTACATACAAACAAACGCACAATCACACACACACAGACACACACAGGGAAAAACCTGGACCAAATCAGACCAGACAAAACACTGACTGGAGCAAGGTCAAAAACTAAGACTAAGCCAAAAGGTTCATGTTTAGATTTTTGATCAAAATCAAAGTGTTTTTCTACTTTTCTTAAATCAAATCAAGAGTTCTGAAATGAATCATGATGACCAAACCAAACTCCAAAGAAAAATAAATAAACTAGCAACATTTTTAAGTTCACATTTTCCCTTTTATAACCGAGTGTGTGTTGATGGAAGATGCTAACCCCGCTCACTCAATGAAGCAAGGGACGTGCTCATGGACAAAGTTTTGCTCCAACTCGCTCTGACTCCTACTAACTTAGATTGAAAAGTAAACTCCTCCTGCTCAGTAACTGCTTGTGTCACACTCTCAATTTTAGGATTAACAAAATGTGTGGTTTATCGCTCTCTTGGGATTGACCAATCACAGGCCTTCATTCACAGGGAAATCTCCAGCTTGCTAAGTTTTTAAACATGTTGCGCGAGAGACTACGATGTTGTGAGAAAGCTGTTTTCTGGCTTTCAAAATAAAAATGATGGCCACCAGCTTTATTTTAACACTCTGATAAATAATAAAACGTTGCCTAGAAACCTAGATTAAAGCAAGTTCCTGACCCACCGATTGAGAAGCGCTGAGGACTATACTGACCAAACCGAGCCATTTCCAGTGGCTCAGTTTTTTGCGATTGCATTTTTAAGTGCTTTTCAATGACAAACAGGGATGGATGACTTTAAGAGAGTAAAACATTTTTTTTAGAAATTCCAATACATTTCTTGTATATAACGTTTCATGGTAAACAACAACAAAGTAAAATGCCAACAAATCGTTCCAACGCAAGAAGACCGTCTATAGATCCGTCAAGCGAAACATTACGACCAGCAGTTTATTCAACATGGCACCTGTTTTGGAAATAAATGTAAAACCACCAACAAATATTTGAATTACAAAACAATTTCTTCAAGTTTTATCCTCTTTTCTTGATTTGAGCAGAAAGAAGTTCACAAGTAAAATTATACACACAAGAATGAACCAAAAAGCTCTTAAACAATATTTGCATAACTTCTCCTTTAAAATCTAAAATTTTCCAAGAAATTACAAAAAAAATGTGTTAAATTTTGTTGGTGCCGATTTCGAAGTGGTCGTAATGTTTTGCTCGATCCATAAAAGATGACATACAATGAAAACCTGTGGACCTTTGCGATAAAACCTGATATTATTCAAACAGTCGTTCGATCATGGTGTAATGGTCACTTGTATTAGCATTAGCCGTTATTTCTGCCGGATATTAGCGCGCCGCAGCTGTCCGCGCCTCCAAACCGTAGTAAAATAGATGTTTTTAAAAGTGCATTGTTAAACCTAACCCAGCTTTACCATCGAACACAACCGTTTATAACGCCATAAATGCCAAAACTATTATATCTTATTTACACGTCTTCGATTCAAGACCTTCTGTGACCGTACTCCGAACACATGTGACGCATTCATACATTTGTACAATTAGAATATTTTTTACAGTCATATAAAAACAAACAAACATGAAGATTATTACAGTACAGGATATATCTCTTTTCTTTGTTCAATTTTTTAACATCAATTTCATACAGGGCAGTGCTGGTCAAATGGCTGGTTCAAAACCCAAACACGACAAAACACAAAATCAATATTATTATTATTTTGTCTTCATATTAAAATACATGGACGTTGTAGTAAAAGGAATTGGCTCATTGACACAAATTCACGTTTAAATTAAGTGCTCAAAAGACAGCGGATTGTGGTCATCTTTTACACGCATGGATAGATTAGTTAGGCTGGAATTCTGGCCCGTTCTTCCCAGCAGAACTGGTTTGCAAGTGGCTTTCACATGCATTTTTCCACTCCAAAACATTGAGCAATCATATCCATGTAAGACAACTTTATGAAAATGGCTTTGTAAACTTGCTCGCTTTGACCAGCACTGCCCGCGAAAGACGGCTAAACACTTCAAATATCACATTAAATGAATAGAGGAATGTATGGCTAGTTTTGTATAAGGCAGGAATTGAAAGAGGGAGTGTGTACAGTCTATTTGGCTTCAATATTGTTTTTGTGGGGTATTAATTTTGTCGAGACGATGAAACGCACACACACTGCTCCGTTTGTGACTAGAAATGCAGCAATTCTAAACTTAAGCCACAAAAAACCAAAATATAATTATTCAAAAATCAATAGGACGTAGAAAGGAGGGTAATGGACATGTATCAAATCTATCTATCTCTATCGGAACAAGAACTGATGGCTATAAACAGCAAATAAAGTTACAAGCCAAGTTTATGGAGAGCCCAGTCCATTCATGTTCAGAAGTTTATTAGCAACTTGGGTTGAATAAACGACCAAGTTGCAGGTCTAGTCTGTGGAGAGGAGAGCTCATTGTAAATGGTAAATTTCTCCATTGTGAGATCAATAAAATATGTCTTATCTTATTCAGGATAAAGTACATGTTTTCCCATGGATTTTTAGCAATGTAATTGAATAAATGTAGGTTTAATGCCATATTGTGGGACTCTAATCCCGTCTTTTTACGATAAACATGCTTCCCATCGTTAACCTTGGGTCAAAAATAATACGTCCATAAACTGTTCTGTTCTGACAATAGCCCTAATCACATAAAACCTAGCCCAGTGTATTTCTAGTCCTCGTTTCAACAACAGGGGGAGCTTAATCAAAATAAAAATACACACATTGGGCGCATCGATATTTGGCCGCAGGGTTCAAATGTGAAAAGTTGCAGCTTTTAGTCTGACGATTACGGTAACGGAAGGAAAAATACTTAGGTTTGTGGAGAGTTGAGAACGGCTGCATTTTTATCTTGGAGAACGTCAGTAAAATACAATAAAAACATGCATTGGTGAGTTGTCTCAAAGCAGCTTGTAAAACCTCTCAGTGTTAGTTTAAAAAGTGTGTTTCTGTGGTCGTTTTAGCATAGAAAATTATTCATTTGTACAAAATGGCTGAGTCCGATTAGTCCCAGTGCAATAAAAAGGTGGTTTGTTCAAGTCGACGGCGTTCCGGTTGTTTTTTTGCCACAGTGAGTTTGAAGGATCTGCTGGTAGAGCCGCGGACACACTGCAGCTCAGAAAGTTGGAATAATTTCGGGTTTGTAGCATCAAGACTGGTTTAAGAAGAAAACAAACGCAACACAATAATTAGAGGATGGAAAAACACTATGCATACGTACTTTGACATCACCAATTTAAAGCTGGGGTACCTGACTTTCTTTTCATAATGTTGTGAGTCCTAACAGAGTCTTGTAAAAGTTAAATGTTGTGAACAAATCAGACCACAACATGCTTTTTTCATCTCATTTGATGACGTTATATTTTGGGTGAGAAAGAGCCCTGTGAGTCACTATTGGACTATTTTGGGGCGAGAGCTGATTGGCTGAGTGAGGCTGGTCCTTTCTTTGTCGGTTTTCTGTCAGAAAAAGCTGATCTACAGATGTGACAGACCAAAAATACATGCGTATAAAAACTAGTGATAGATACTAGTTGGATAGATCTTTAAACATAGATATTTTTTGTACCCAAAATTAGGTACCCCAGCTTTAAGGCATTATAAACAAGGCTAAATATACTGCAAAAATACCAGCGATAGTAGACTCCTTTCTACAGTCGAGGACAAAGCCGCTAAAATGTTCTAATTTATGGAACGTTCTGAGTTTGACTTGAGACATGGAAAAGGAATTGACCAGACTGAGATTTTTTTCAGCAGTTTTGAGATGACCAAACTATTCCAACTTTTCGCACGCCGCAGTGCGCTGAAAACGTGGCCTTTTCACATGTTGTAAGCCACGTAGATGGGATCCAGCTGGTCAGCCAGGAATGAGTCTCTCAGATGCATGCGCTGCTTCTCTCCGCGGGAGTTTATGGGGATGACTCCGGGGTCCACGATGACCACCACGCCCACGATCAGGTGGTGCTCCTCCAGAACCACGTTGGTGATGAGGGGAACCAGGTCCAAGGCGTCCTGCTCCGACCCGCACAGCTCCGACACCACCACCAGCAGGTTGGTCCATGTAAACACAGCACTGTGGAGAAGCCAGGCACAGGAGGAAACTTTAAGATTGAGATTAGCATTTGGACTCGGTCAGAGGAGGTCAGTCTGGGAACAACCTTCGTACAGACAAAAGACAATGCCCAACATACAGCTCTGTCAAAAACAACTTCAACACCATACTAAAGTAAATCAGTCCTGCACTCATTTTAACTAACTGTAACTTGTATAGTTGTATATTGTATATTGTGTTTTGTATTCTTATGACTGCGGATGTAAATGAGCAGTTTTGCAATAATCTGGCACATTTACAATTTGTGTACAACTTGTTTACGATTGTACATTAATGTGTGTTGTCCCAATCAAATAAATAAATAAAGAGATTAAGAGATTTTTTATTTGGCCCACAGTGGGGAAAGTTCAGTGTTGCATCACAAGTTAGTAGGAATGAGGACCACAGAGCACAATATAAAAGAATAATAACTACACTAATTAAAATAGAATAAAATGTCTTACTCTTGCATCAAAGAGACATGTATAAAATCTATCTTTAACATAATAAAGCTAGAGATAACATAATATATCTCTCCACTTGCCAAATTTAAAGTACTGTGTTTTCTAGTGCAAGCAATATGTAGTTGTATGTTTACATCTGTACATTCAATTCAATTCTCTTTATTTACAAAACATAGTCATACAAGTCAGATGCATTCTAATTTATAAAGTTTGTAGGTTCTTTGTAAAAGGGAACTCCCAGGACCCTGCATTAGATTATGGGCAGCACCCCAAAAACATATGTAAATAAATGTCATATTATAAAACAATTTCTAAAGATTTGATCCAATTAGTCTAATTTGGCAACAACAGAAAAATATGTGAGAGCTTACAAAAGGCCAGATATACAGCTTTTTCATGTTTTATTCTTTGGATTCAATATCTGCTGATTCCAAATATGAGCAGTTACCAGTGAAGGGATTGCAGGAAGCACTGAGCCCTGTTTCCACCAGCCCAACTTGGCTCACCCCAATAATAAAAGTATCTTTTTATTTGTTATTGAGCTAGCAAACATTGATGTCAACAGGTGTTGCAACGTACAGTGTATCATAAGGGTCATCCCATTTAAAAACAGAAAAATGTTATGCACAAGCCCAGGACCTTCTTGCTAGTTAGTCCATTTTTTGTAGTTGGAAAGTTAAGCAGCACAGATTTTAATGAATGGCAACAACTGACTGATCACATTTATAACCATTTCTAGCCAGGAAATAGTCAGATTTTTTGTGGTAAAGATGACAGACCTCTCAGCGATACTGCGATGAGCCCGGGACACAGAGATCTCAATGTCGATGGGATGGTAACGCAGTCCCCTCAGCTCCAGCGTCTCATCCAGGGAGCCCACCACAAACAGGGCGTCATGGCGATCTGTATAAATTGGCATAAATTGTACTATTATCAAGAGGTGCTTTTTCGCTTCCACACACAAATACAAATCTACATGGGAAAGGTTTGGGTGCAAGATTTTAACACTAGAACTCCCAGGGCACTCAGCTCTTGTACCTTTGTGGTCTTCATATCTTTGTGACTTTTTCTGTTTCTATATGTAGTCATTCTTTTTTATGAAATATTTCTTCATTTTTGGTTACAGCCTCTTTTCTCTAACTCTTGCTCCTGAACTGTTTCTTGTTCAGAGCTGTGTCAACTTGGTTTTTCACCCAAAAAGAGGAAGTTGTAGTTACCATAGCAACTTGCCAGCAGATAGTATTGGGTAGCCTTTCGTTAACATGTTTTAGCACTTATTAAAAGTGAGTAGTAAGTAAAAAAAAAAAAAATTAAAAACTCTTTTCACTTTTCTTATCTAAAGATGTGCCAGTGGCCAATAATACATGCATGTGAAAAACTAGTGATAGAACCAAACTCTTGTGAGGGCGAGGAACTAGTTAGATTCACACTTTTTTGAGGTTTGAAAGTCAGGTCCCTCAGCTTTAAAGTGCTCCTACCTCCACTTGCATCCAGCAGCTCGGTCCTCTTGACGAAGCCCAGGTAGCCGGTGCGCGCCCACAGCGTCTGCGGGTCCCCAAAGCTCAGTTTGGTGTTGAAGTGGTCGGCCTGGAGACCCTCCTCGCCGTAGATGGTGTAATATCCACTGGAGTTATGAGGACTGTGCACCCAGATCTGAACAAGACATGGAACCATCAACCTGGTGTGGACCAGGTCTCTCTCGGGTCTCTCTCTGGTCTCTCTCTGGTCTCTCTCTGGTCTCTCTCTGGTCTCTCTCTGGTCTCTCTCTGGTCTCTCTCTGGTCTCTCTCTAACCCTTCCCTGGTTACTTTCTCTCTCTGGTCTCTCTCTGGTCTCTCTCTGGTCTCTCTCTGGTCTCTCTCTGATCTCTCTCTGATCTCTCTCTGGTCTCTCTCTCTCTGGTCTCTCTCTGGTCTCTCTCTGGTCTCTCTCTGGTCTCTCTCTGGTCTCTCTCTGGTCTCTCTCTGGTCTCTCTCTGGTCTCTCTCTGGTCTCTCTCTGGTCTCTCTCTGGTCTCTCCCTGGTCTCTCTCTGGTATCTCCCTGGTCTCTCCCTGGTTACTTTCTCTCCCTGGTCTCTCTCTGGTCTCTCTCTGGTCTCTCTCTGGTCTCTCTCTGGTCTCTCTCTGGTCTCTCTCTGGTTTCTCTCTGGTTTCTCTCTGGTCTCTTTCTGGTCTCTTTCTGGTCTCTTTGCCAACTTTCAGCTTGTGTTTGTGGGAAGTTGGGACCAGTTTGTTTGTTTGTGCAGGCTGCATCTTCAGTTTTATATATATATTTTTCCCATATGACCCAATGTTATTATGTAAAGTACATATTTTTCAGTTATTGTATTTAATATACAGTGTGGCAAAAAGTATTTTGTAAGCATCCAACTCTGTCTATGACACAAGCCACAGTGTGCACGTTACAACCATATTAAAGAAAAATATGTAATGCTGTTTCACCTCCCCAAGATGTGAATCCCCAAGTGGACCTTTAGTCTCTGGGTTCACTATTATTACTCGAACTCCGGGCAAAATCTGAAAAGGACATGAATAAAATACAACTTAGGCATAAATATAAAACCTAGCACTTTTCTTATGCTTCACTTTCAAATGGTTCAACTACAAAACTTTGATGCATATTTGTGATGATGTACTATTGTGAATAAAACATACTTTTCCCGACTCCATCAGTGGAAGACTCTGAGGAGCTCCTCTCTCCACCAGCCGAACTCTGAAAACAGTCACATGAACACAATTTACAACAATAACAAGTATATGTACAAGTACACAGTGCAAACTAGTGCTCAATAAGCCTCAGTCCTCGTTCTCCAGCCTGAGTCCTGAATCTACAACCTGTGCGTGGGTTTCCCATGTGTGTGACAGGAAGAAGACTCCCTCATCTTGATTAATCTCCCACTCTCTAATTTCAAACCAAACACTGGATTAAGAGGAGATTGAAATCAGAAAGCAACAACAGCATAAAGCCAGTGTTTGGATCAATGAGGCGTGGTCAGTCTGATAGACCTGTCAATCAGGCTGACCACACCCACTCAGGAAGTAACACCAGCTGACCACGCCCACTCAGGAAGTAACTGTCACTCTCGTATTCGTCCCGGAAACCGGATTTGTACGGAAATTCAGTTTGCGCATGTCAAAAAGTTTAATATGTCCTTAAGTGGAGACTGGTTAAGTTTAGGCGTTTGATTAAGATGGTTAAGTTTAGGGTTAAGGCTGGGTTGGGGTTATTTTATGGGAATGGAAGTTTCGGCATGAATAGGTAGTTTTTTATATTTACTTCCGCTTCCGTCCAGATTCCGAGACGTAATCTACTGCTGCGTATGCTCATTGGATCAAACTGAACTTCCGGACGAATCCGGTTTCTGGGACGAATACGGGAGTGACAGTAACATCAGATGACCACGCCCACTCAGGAAGTAACATCAGCTGACCACGCCCACTCAGGAAGTAACATCAGATGACCACGCCCACTCAGGAAGTAACACCATCTGACCACGCCCACTCAGGAAGTAACATCAGCTGACCACGCCAGTTTCTTCTATGTATTTTTAGCCTCTGTCACATCTGCTCTCCTTTATACTCTGCACATCTGTGGTTGAACTACAAGAAAGCTACTGCTTTACTTCAGAAACTGCAGGTAGCTTTCAATGACGCTCTGAGGATGCTGTTAAAGAAGCCCAGATCGACTCATGCGAGTGAGTTGTTCGTGAGCAACAGAGTGAACACACTGAAGTCTGTTCTGAGAAAGGCAATGTTTAGTTTTATTCGCCGATTAAACGAGTCTGTGAACCTGGTTGTTGTTGTTTTGGTGAATGCCAAGTTCAGTACAACACGCTGTATTTCTCGGTTCTGGGAACACTGGTACAAGTGTCTTTGTAAATGAGTCCTTAGAATTTGCTATTTTATTTTTTATGTTTCTGTGTCTTGTGGTGTCCTTGTGTTGTCTCTTGTTTGGACCTTGAGTCCGGAAGTAAGATTATTATTATAGATCAACTTTTTTTCAGATAGAAAAGTAAAAAAGAGAGGACCACCCTTACTCAGCCAATCAGCTTTCAGTCCAAAGAGTCAAGTAGCGTCTCATAGGGATCTTTCTTAAAATTTGCAACAGATTATTTAAAAGATTATTTCTTTATAAAGTTAGGTACCCAAGCTTTAAGTACAATGGGCTCTATGCACGCACCACTTCCGCGTTTTAGCTACAACTCCACTTCACTTCCTGTTTGCGGGAAACGGCTTGAGTTTCACTGGAGTTCAGCAGTGGTTTACACGAGTTTCCCAAATAATGCTCAAACGGGAATTAAACTGTGAGGATACTGGGCATTTTTGGGACACAACAGTGCTCTTTGATTGTACTGTCATTGTGTTTTTATAAAGATTACAAATCTCTCTGAGTGGCCACTGTCAAAGCTCTACCTCAGAGAGAAAGCCCAGCGACACTTTTGGATCTCACAGCTCAATGTATCAATCTAATTACTAAAAAACGTCACTAAAACTCACCTAAATGCCATAGGATAGCATAGGCAGGAAGTGAACGTACTGATCTTTGTTAACAGGAAATGACGTCACGCCTCCCCGTGCATATAGCCCATTATGTTGACTCCACATTCTCAGTTTCTGTAAGATTGGACTCTCACCTGTCGTGACGGAGGGATTTCATGTCCACATAGACCGTGGAGGGATCCGGTCCAGTCGTGCCCTGAGACAACAACAATTACATAAAAACATGTTTAAAAATAAGAAAAAAAACCTCAGTACGTTTACAAAAGATAGATAGATAAATGCGGAGTGCACAAAAAACGCACCCTATTGAGTGTTGTTTTAAACCAGTCTGATCACTCTGGTCCCAGTCTACAGCCGGGGTCAGCCAAAGCACTCACACTTCAGGACAGTAATTGTAAATAACATTGTTATCGTTTGATTTTCACACAGCAGCACGAGTCATTTCATTTCTACAACTCCCAGAGTTCTGAAACTACTAGAACTCCCAGAGCTGTCATTAGACTACCAAACAAATCAATGGAAATCTGATTAAAAATACCCCAACATTTCACTACTAATATAGTATGGTATAATATGTGGATAACACCATACTGTAAACAGTTTATTAAAAGGCTTCTAAATTCTAACTGGTGTCAAGTAAACAGTCACAAATATCAAAACAAGTGAGTGGTCAGTATCCTGATCCTAGACTGTATATTAGAAGTGGATTATCACTGTCACTGTTAGCCTTAATGTGCAGGAGGCCGATTAGAGCCAACTCAAGCAGATGCAAATGTTGTTGGTAGCAACGGCTGAGATATCATCGCACTACTCGCTGCTATAGACAAATTTGGCAACAGAGAACTCCTCCTATTTGGCAGTTGTTAGGACACAGATCTGGATTCACAAAGACAATATCATAAAATAAACACCAGGAACAAAGAGAACAATAAACCATGGGTTTATAAGCGCAAATTGGTGATTGTGACAAAAGCCGTTATTGAACTAGAGGAGTTTACTTTTCATTGTAAGTCAATAAGAGCCAGAACAAGGAGCAAAGCTTTGGCCATTAGCACTTCTCTATTGGGCTTCACTGGGCTAGGGCAGTGATTTTCACAGTCCTTGATTTCTTCTTTGCACGGTAATATGCAGTGTAAATGCAGTAGAAAAGGTTCACAGCGCTCAGCTTTGCATGCATCTTAGTTCTGGACAAGGAGAAAGATCTGGTTTTCTCACAGTTAAACTTTGTCCATGAATGCGTTTTGTGAGTGTCTTTCACCTGGAGACAGACGGCAAGATTGACGCGTGACCCGAATGCAGTGCTAACTGCTCTGGAGGACAGACCCACGTCTTTGAAAAGCTTGGAGAAGGAGTGCGACAAGGCCAGACGGGGGCGCTCTTCTGCGATGACCACGCAGCTGCGCACACACGACAGGTTCACTCCGCGCGCCTGCAAACACACGGCGACATCTGACTTATGTAGAACAGAAAGAGACATTGGGCCACAATACTCATCATTACACCGGCCAGGCAGGCACTAAAAAGTAAGTGGTACCGGTTAAACAGCGCCAGTGGAAATACTGATAATCGGGGTAGAATATAGAGTAGAGTAGAGTTCGGACAAGTAGGGCTGGTGGAAACAGGGCTATTGCAATCTACTCCATGTAACTAGTTTCTCACAACGTTTGCGTCTATCAATAGATTTCACACATGTACTTGTGTTATAAATCACATCCCCAGTCTCAGTAAGTAAGTAAGTAAGTAAGCTTTATTTATATACCGCCTTTCACAGACCAGAGTCACAAAGCGGTTTACAATTGTTGTTGTAGTGTGTGTGGTTCTCGGTGCGTCCCACCTTGAGCATGTCGGTCTGCATGCCCAGCCCTTTGGTGCACATCTCCATGACTGAGTAGGAGCAGAACGTGTCTCTGATCCGGTACTGACTCAGCGTGGTGAGCCACAGAGACACACAGCTCTCCAGCTCAAAGGGAGGGATGAGGATGGACTGGTGCCCTGAGTAAACACTGCAACAAGATGCAACAGTCAGCTCCACACAGCAGCAACAACAGGAAGTACAGCAGCCACGCACTCACACTTCAAATCTACCCTAAAAACTCATCTGTGTGGACAAGCCTATTCACTTACACCATGTTCATGCTGTTTGAAACTTTGTATTCTGTCTTTTAACTGGCTTTAAGTGTACGTTACACTTGTTTTTTAAGGCGGCCTTGAGTGTCTACAAAAGGCGCCTAAGAAATAAAATGTATTATCGTTTTAAGTCAGAAGAGAGGCTTGGTCTACAAAAAGTACTGTATAAATAAAGATTACATTTATAATTTAAGGTCTTAATAAGGTTTTCAACAATGGGGGGCAGTGGTTCTTTGTGAGGCCACCACTGGTCCATGTACAGACCCAAGAGCACGCACAGAAACACCAAGGGGGAGTGGGACTGACTTTGATTAACGCGTCAATATATCTAAACATGATTGAAGCCTAAAAACTAAAACAAAAAAATCCCAGCCTTAAGTTATATACATTGTATGGTATAATAATAGTATGTTGAAAGTGCACCTCGCGAGGCACCAGAGGACGAAGCCGAGGCCGCAGTACGGGTCCAGGCAGATGGCGATCTGTCGAGATGAGTAGAGCTCACACTGCAGCTTGATGGAGCGGCACAGAGCACTGACCGCCGCGTGAGAGATCTGAGCAAGACACAAGAGAACCAGGACATTAGACTCAAAGCGCTGAAAAAATATGGCATCTAATTAGTGTAATACAGTGGTAAGCTTTTAGAAATATCCCCCCTCCGTGGCCTCGCATCTGTGACATGTTAGTGCCATATCAACTAACTCTTGGAGCACAGGGACGGGCCTCCTGCTCAGGACTAAACATGGGGAGGCACCGTTTCAGTTTAATGCAGCTGAAATCTAGAAGAGTCTTCCTGAAAATGTGTGTCTACTCTGATAACCTTGAAATCCAGATTAAACAGTTATTTTTAGCTGTGCATACAACTGAAGGATTGTATCTTCACTGATTTTTTATGTTTTCTCCTAACTTGACCCGCCCTGGGTCAGTGGTAATTTTGTGCCACAATAGTGTAAGTAGCACATGAGCTACACACCAGGTGGCAGCAGATCCTTTGAAAGTGTGTTTAATAACTTAAATTAATGTTATCTTTTTTGTTTTCTAAGCACTTTCTTTACTTCCCATAAATTTACTGTCAATTAACATTTGAACATGGTAAAAAACTGATACATTTGTTTAGGGCACATGACAAACACTTGTCTTTGTGTGTCTTTGTGTGTGTGTGTCTATCTGCTAGTGTGTGTGCTGACCTTGACTCCAGTCAGCATCCCGGTGGTGGACACGCTGAAGTCCAGGTAGGCGATCATCTCTGCGGTCGGAGGTTTGTAAATGTGAGGAGGCCGTCGACGGGGGAGGTCATCTGAGGAAACAAGGACAGACTTAAAGCTGGGGTACCTACCTTCCAACCATAAAGAATGGGACAAGACAATCTCACTACTTTTGCTTTTTTTTGCTATTACTACTTTTCACAGTCATGTATATTCGGCCTCTATCACATCTTAAACTAGAGAAAAAGAGAGGACAACTGTCTTTCTGAAATCGCTAGTTTTAGCTCCAACTTGACTGTTGACCTGAAGATTGTTACACTCTCTCATGTCCACTGTCGGCCAGAAATGTAGGAGTTATTCTTTGATAGAACTTTCAGGACAAACAAGTGTCTTCAGCAGGTCCAGAACGCTGATGTTTGTTTGCTCTCAAGAGAGAACACAATACCCCAGAAATCGGTCATTTTCAAATTTGGAACAAAACTAAACATTTCAACTCCTCCCTCTGGTGGCTTTAGATTTAGATGACTTTTAATTACTTTTTATTTGAACCTGCATAACACATATGCACATATAAAAGACAAATCACATATGCATGGTTTTAAAAAGGGGATTGGATGAAGCAAATGCTTATTTGGTTCCAACTCCAATCACACATGCCACATGACACTACCACAGATGGTATAAGAATTCACACACACACACTCACACACGCTCTCCGACCCTAAATGTCTCTCACACTCCTCCTCATTTCTGGTTTGTGCGAAACATTTCATAACTATTTATTTCAAACTCCTCCCTCTAGTGGAAGGAAAATAAAAAAGTAAATAGTCTCAATATATGTTTTATGGGTCAAAAATAAAGCATAATATTTCTTCTTTAATGGAATGTGCTGGAATTGTGTCTCACCGGTGTCGATGATCGTGGGCCAGGTTTTAATATTCACAGACGCCGCCGCCTCCTTGGAGCGCAGGATCCTGGTGAGGTTCTGAGTGGTGAGGATACAGGCGGCTCGACTGACCTGAAGACAAGCAAACACATCTCATTCAGCCATGGATTCAAGTCGTTTAAGATCCTTTGTTCCTTCGCTTTAAGACTACAACAGATCTGAGTTGAACATGTGTGTACAATTGTTAGTCAGTTATAAACAATTATAATTGATGTACTTGTTTGTTTGTATGGATGTGTTTCTGCTGCTGGACACCTGATTTTTTCCTACAGGGATCAATAAAGTATCTATCTATTTTAAAGTAATTTACCACTAAAGCAGCCGGATTAAGTTATTAGCCATGTTTCAACACCCTTTTCCATGTTTCAACACCCTTTTCAAAAACAGCCCAACTATCTTCATGCTACTAAAAAACGTGTTATATTTTGCATAATTGTAAGAAAGCGCTTTCACGCTTTGGGCTCAGAGCTGATTGGCTGAGTGAAGGTGGTCCATTCTCTTTTTGAATTTTCTGTCTAAAAAATTTGAAGAGGCTAAAAATACATGAAAGAACTAGTGATAAAACCAATCTATTTTAGAGCTTGGATCACTACTACTGGAGCAGTGGGTCCGGTCGGGTATTGTTCCAGACTCTTTAAACAGTAGATAATAGAATTTGTGTTTATATGTTTTGTCTATATTTGTAAACTGTTTGTTGTGCTTGATTCAATACAAATATTGATAATATTAATAAAAAGAGCTGAGTTGGTGCAATGTGAATTGGGTGGAAGATAATTGCCACCCCCCTGACACAAAAATTGATTGTCACAAAATGGATGGATAATAATAAAAAATACAGGCATTTTATTGCACAATATTACAATTTTGTAGTGAATGTACTTGTGCCTAGTAATTAAAACAGCTTTTCTACTACCTGCACAGCATACTTATCAATCAACATCATGTTCAAGAGCCAAAATTAGCACAAATATTGATATGAGGAGTTTTTGAACGTACGTCGATGATCATGCGGACCGTGGGCAGTGTGGCCGGGAGGTTTTGTGGATGAGGAGGCCTGACGTTTACCGGGACACACCCAGCGTACAGACAGCCGTAAAACGCAGCTATCAAGTCAATGCCTGAAGAAAGCAAACAACAACGTGTGATTATTAAAACAACAACAGGAAAAGAGAAGTCAGCAGGCAAGAAGTGGCACTATCAGAAGCATGAGAGGGCAAAATGCTATGTTTCCTATTCGTGGCAATATATCTGTAAATGTCTCCAGAGATACCATTAGCCTCTTGTCTGCATCTGTGTTGCCCTTGTTTGAGCTGTGAGTTTGGGCAGATGGCCGTGTCTTGGTAGCTTTGCAGTTGTGCCATACACTTTGATTCCCAGATGATGGATTGAACGGTGCTCTGTTAACCACCACCATGTGTTCTTTATTTGAGCAAATTATCAACATTCGTAATATACTGTATAAAGACTTGTATATCTCTGCCGAAGTGAGTCAGATCAGTTAGTTTACAGAAGTTAAAAAAGTTGAACAATCATCTAATTTCTCCTGTATATCTGTCCAATATCAATCATCCACTTATTCATGCACAAAGTTCCCATAATATGCTTTTTGACTTTTTTTGCCCAAAGACGAAGCAACGCGGGCTCACAGGCAGAGGAGAACCACCCGTTTCAATTTAGGTGACATCACCTCTAGGCAAGAAATGGCAATAATATCAGTTTTGAGTGTTGTATCGTGTATTACCCAAATAATTATGCCACATATGATTAGGATGGGCTGTGAAACATCAAGTAGAGCAAAATATGGGACCTTTAAAATGTACAATAGTTGTGGGCATGGGAAAGAATTTTAAATATTGAGGAGATTATTTGAAATGTGTAAATCTTTTGGGGAGCAACTTGGAAAGGAGTTGTGAGGTACTGGTAACTCTGATGCCATAGGTTGGAGACCCCTGGTGTAGACGCTTTGGCGTTGTAGATGTAAAAAACACATAGTTTTCTGTGTCTCTCTGCGTTCATAAACTTGGTACAACACATGGTTTTGCAGAGTCCAGACCTGGGGGGTAGAGCAGCACCACGTTCTCCCCAGTGTTGATGCTTCCCTTCTCCATCAGAGCCGCCGCGATCTTCTCTGCGCGTTTGTGCAGCTGCAGACACGTGGCCGTGCACACAGTCATGCCCTGCACAGACACAGGATCACTCCATCACACACCACAGTCTGCGTAAAGTTTGGGACCATTTGGGAGTCAAGAAGCATGTATAATAAAATGATGACATTATTAGAATAGTACAGATGCAAATATTGTATTGGAAGCTGACTCAAAAAAGATTGGGGACATCCTTTTTTTTGGGAAGATGTGAAAATCCCATAGACTGTTTATAGATTGTCGATGCTAAATTGCTAGCTCAATGAAGCCCAATAGGGAAAGCGCTCATACAGTTTTGGTCCAACTCATTCTGGCTCGTTTTGACTTGCATTGAAAAGTTACTTCCTCTAGCTCAGTAACCGTCTGTCTCCCACAATTTTGGGATGAAAAAAAAAACCTTGGTTTAGTTTTCTATGTGACCCTGGTGTTTATATTGAGATAACGTCTTTGTAAATCCAGATATGATCCATATAAGGATTGACCAATCAGATGGGGAAACTCCAGTTTGCCTTAGCAACCATCTTAGCATCACACCTGGCAAGAAAGCTAACACAGTCGGAACAAACGGCAATAGGAAGGAAAATGGCTCCAGCTAGCTCATGTTCGAATCGGCCTCTTTCGAATTAAAAGCTCACACTTTGGTGATATTGCACTCAGTCAGTCCACTCCTCGAAGAATCTTGTATAAATAACAATATGAAAACGGTTTGAGTTCTGACCTTGGCGTTGAGGAGCACGAACAACACATGGTCCGGATCGCTCTGAGCTCTCCACTGCAGCGCCTCAGCCAGAAACTGGTGCTGGTGGGTAAAAACGAGGAAATCGGTCAATAATTACAGTTACTATAGCGACTAGCAAGTCATATTGCACACATTGATACAAACATAGCAGCTCTTGCAACTTCAAAAAGCAACACTATGTAACTTCAGGACTTAAAAACATCACATTAAACAGTGGGGGTCATTTGCTGAGTTCTCAAAGATGCATAGTGTTTCTTCATCTGTTAGCTTCAGCGAATCTCAACAACACATGCAGTTACACAAGGGCGGTTCCAGGAGCAGCTTTACTTTATTTTAGAAGCAGTTAAAATATTTTATATTCACATCTGAAAGGATGGAGTGTTAAAGAAGAAATATTATGTGTTATTTCTGGTCATTAAATTTGTCACTGAAACGATATACTTGGTCAATTCATCAGTGGAAAATATATGGTGAAAGACGTATGAAGGGTACAAAATGCTTTCCGCCTGTAACTCCCTATGCTTCCACCAGGGGGAAGAGAATCATTTTCTTAGTTTGTTTCAAAATGTGATAATTACTGGTAACAAATGCAGTCATGTGATTGTAAAGAACGCCATTTCAAATTGATGTATTCATTTAAGGCAGAAAACTGCTCTAAGTATGATGTCATAGTGGTGGAATGACATCATACTATTACAGTGAGGTTACATGATCTTGCCAGAAGTTCCTGATATTAGCGTGGATGGATCTAAAAACAACTCCAGGTCTGTGACTGCCTGGGAGCCTCTTCAATCCTGCACCTCACAGCCTCAGTCCTCGTTCTACAGCCTGAGTCCTGAATCTACAGCCTGTCCTCCCAATGTGGGCCTCCCTTAGGCTTCTCACTTTTCTTACACTGGGTTTGGCTGAGTGAGGGCAGTCCACTTTTTCACTTTTCTGTCTGAAAAAATCTGATCTAAAGAAGTGACAGAGGCAAAAAAGAGGATATTTAAGGAAAGGAAAACTAGTTATTTGGATTTTCTGTTTTAATAGGACAACTTTGCTCTGATATAGGGTTGTGTCTTTATTATAGCAATGTTGACAGTGATATTGAGCTTTTGTTATTCTGAATTATACAGTCGTGCTTAAAAGTTTACACACCCAGGTACAAATTTGGACAAAAATAAAGACATCATAATGGCTGATATCTTGGAGATGATGAATAATAACAAAAACACTCCTTGGTAATGATTGTGTGAAGGCAAAGAGACCAAAGAGAGAGATGTGAAAGGGAAACCAGAGAGCCAGACCATAGAGACAGACCAGAGAGACGGACCAGAGAGACAGACCAGAGAGAGAGACAGAGAGACAGGCTAGAGAGAGCCAGACCAGAGAGAGCCAGACCAGAGAGAGACAGACCAGAGAGAGACAGACCAGAGAGACCGACCAAGTAGAGACAGACCAGAGAGAGACAGACCAGAGAGAGACAGACCAGAGAGAGACAGACCAGAGAGAGACAGACCAGAGAGACAGACCAGAGAGACAGACCAGTGACAGAGAGGATGAAGAACCTCATTCAAATCTACCACAAAAGACTGAAAGTTGTCATGGATGTTAAACGGGAAATACACACTATTGAAAACTGGGAGACTTCTCATTTACTTCAATATCGTTTAAAATTAGAAAATCACATTTATCTGACAAAAAATGGCTTCACACAACCACTAACAATGGGCGGGTAAAAAAACTGTTGTCATCATAATCTCCAAAATGCCTGGGGAGTAAACTTTGAAACATGAAAACGTAACAGAAAAACGTACATACAGTAAGTGCATTAATCCTGTACAAACGTGACGAGAACCGCCCCTGACAAAGCAGAGCTCAAACAGAAGACAACAAGGCGGGTACATTGGGTAAAGCAGAGTCATACACGTGTTTTAATAAATCAAATGGAGGATGAGGAGGGGAGGAGCCAGCAGGTTGTGGGAGGAGCTCTTACCAGCACAGTGGGCCACATACTGAGCTACAGCCAGAGAAGAGAAGAGAAGAAGAGGAGAGACAGAAGCCAGAGACGCATTTATATCTAACAACTCTCAAATACAGAGGCTGTGTCCTGATGTCCACGTGATGGGACGCCGATGCCAGGCCAAAGAGTTCGAATTGGCCTTTCACCAAGTCATAGAATCTCTCAGAACATAAACAAGATAGACCTGAGAGTTATTTTACTGAGGAGAGGCTTCGTCTGGACCGGTGGTGTCAAGCTGGATCCAGAAAGGGCCGAAAGTGGCTGCAGGTTTTCATTCCAACCAAGCAGGAGTACATCAGATTCCACCCTTTTCTTCCAGAGTTTTCAGGTTAAGGCTGGACTCACTTGATGAAATGGGTGGAGTCTGGTGTCCTCCTGCTTGGATGGCAATGAAACCTGCAGCCACACCGGCCCTTTGAGAACCGAATTGACCCATCCTGGTCTGTCCACGCCTCTATAGAAATCTGATTGGTGAACGGCTGTCTTTATTGAAGGTTCTCCCATTTGTTCAGGGTAATGTTCCTTGTTAGTTCCGTAGTATGCTAAAAATATAGATTTGATACTGCTACTTTTTCTGCTAGAGTTCGAGATTTTTTTTAATTTTTGTGATGCATAACTTTTAATGTTGCCTAGCTTGTGTTGCAACACTGGAATTTCTCCACTGTGGGACGAATAATCTTCGTACTGAAGCTCTGTCGGAGTGACCATTGAATTCTTGGTCACCTCCCTGCCTCCCTTCTCCCCCTTTTGCTGAGTTTGGGCGGGTGACTATGGTGGTCTTGAACTTTTGCTTCCCTATTGATGCATCTTCGAGACCTTTAGTATTTTAATTGTCTGTTTATTTGGATGGAACAGTGTGAATTAATGAATAGCAGGTGATGTAAATAAACCAGATAGTTGCCCCAGTCTAATTTTCATCCATTGTCCTAAGCTATGACAATACTAGTACATGTTTTTAGTGGTAGGAGAAACCCGAGCACCTAGAGGAAACCTACGCAGACACGGGGAGAATGCGCAAACTCAATGCAAAAAGGCCCTGTCTGGAGGTGGAATTGAACCCTATTGCAGTGAAACACAAGTGCCTCCATATATTTCCGTCTCGAAGGTCTACAGACAGATCCTTAGACCATGTGTCCTGGTCTGAAGGTCTACAGACAGGTCCTTTAATCTAGACCTGGACAGCAGGGCCTTGTTGCAAGAAGCCAGAGAGCTAACCACTCAGCCACCAATAAGGCTGTAGAATTGCAGAATAGGAGAAGAGTGGACATCCGGACACAGCCATAACGTTCAGGTTCAATGTAATTCATCAGGTATTTAATTTTGAAGCGATGCAGTTGGTTGTGGAAGTTGTGTTTTTGTACCTTCCGTGAGAGGTCCTGGTCGTCAATCACTCCCAGGTCTCGTCCAGCCGCTTGTGCAATTCTCTTCCCGGCCACAAGGTTTCCCACCATCACTGAGGCAGGACCCACTCCCACTGAGCACACAACACACACCAGAGCAATTTTACATCTCCCAGAAAAATGCAGGCGTCCACATGAATCACACGTTTATTTACGTTGGAACACAAAAAAATTAAAGAGAACAGGAGTATGGCGTTCTTTCCACAGAAACACTTTTTGCAGTTCAGTGTGGAGTGAGCGAATATGGCTTTTTGGGTTGTTCAAATGCAAACAAACTAAATTAAAGTTGCGGTACCTTATTTTCGAACCTCAAAAAATTACAAAAGTATTGCCACAAAAAATAGTTTGGGGAATTTCTCAAGTAAAATTATGTCCTTTACAATCACGTGTTTCAGTTTATTCACAAAGTCACAAAACAGTTCTTGTGCTACATTGTGAGAATGGAACTCCCAGAAGATACAAGCTTAAGCAGGAGGGGTCCATCCATGTCTGTGTTTGCAGTCAGTAAACAAATTCTACTCCTCCCTCTGGTGGTAGTGTGAGATTTCATAACACTTTTAAGCAACTTTTGTTAAAGTTAAACTCATCATTCTATCAATGTGCAGAAGCCTGTACTTTTCCCTTGTTTTGTCTATCTGAAGGCCAAGCTACAAGCACACCGTGGCAGCTGCTGATTGGAGGTCTCCATGCCTCCACTCTGTATAATACACTTGCATTCTGTTGTTCGTGTTGTTCGTGCTGTCTCTACCATCGACAATAAAACATGTCTTCTGTCTGAATGAAAGACGCGATCAAAGACTTTGTCATCTTCTTCAGGAGTAAAGGGAGTTAAAGGCGGATATGTTTTTAGTTTGACGAACAATTTTACTTCTTCTGTTGGGAATAACAGCATATACTATTTATAAAACAGTAAAGCCAGGTCCCCCAGCTTTAACGAGTGCACATACCAGGCTGCTTCTGTCGTGGCTTGGGCAGGTTGGTGACACAGGTGTGGGGGCACATGAGGATGTTACAGGGGTGAAGACTTCCCTCCAGAAAGAACTGCTTTGTGTCCGAGATGTGGATCCCTCCCAGAGGAGTCTTAGGGAGAGTGTTGGCTGGAACCAGGGCCAGGCAGTACAGGCCCACCTGGTGGATGCTGTCGATGGCCTGCGGAAAACAACAGGGACATGATCACAAGTTGGACCAGAAGAGAGGGACCAGAGAGAGACAAGGGAGGGACCAGAGAGAGACTGGAGAAAGACCACAGAGAAACAAGAGGAAGAGACCTGAGAGAGACCAGAGAGAGAGGGACAAGAGAGACAAGAGAAGAGATAGGAAAATGCAACAAATTATCACAAGTAATAAGCGATAAATATTATAGATACATCATTAATATATTATAAATAATGTGGACTCCTATTATACTGTTTATGGTGCAGTAGTAGCTTCAGAATCAAACAAAACAGTGGTATCATGTGGTTCTAATGGTGCACTGCTTTCACACCGGATCATGCGTTGCGTCGACTTTCAATGCAAAGTCAATGGTGACGCGCGTTCGAACGTCGAGCTGCATGTGCATCTTGGAATGCACTCACGGACTGCGTGGTAGAGACGCATGGACTGCGCGGCAAAGGCGCGGCAGAGGCGCAGGAGCGGAAAATGGACGCACGCAGGAGATAAATATTGATGGAACGTTTCCTCGGGACGCTCGTGCAGCGACCAATCAGAGAGCCACAAAGTGGTCACAGGGACATTAGTGGTCTGAGCGAGCAGACTGAACATACTGTAAACAGCCAAAACAGGAGCTACACCAGGACTAAACCAGGGTTGACAATGGGGGACTGGGTGCTTGTGAACATATGTGAATTTATGCAAACTGCTTAGAGTGTGTTCGCCGATGCGGAAGTACCGTTTAATAATAAAATAAACGTATGGTGCACCTCCGTGAACACATACTGCTTTTCTCTGGAAGGTCTCTGGACAAAGACACTGCAGAGCTACATTTTTGGAGAAGAACTTTACACAAAAAGCCGCTAGCTTAACTCCGTTAGCATCAAAGCCCGCCCGCTACTTCCGCCACCGCAGCCCAGGACTTCTGGTCTGAACACCCCTGCGTCTGAAAATTAGAGAATGTGCGCCTGGTGCGCGAGGCGCCGCCATTCCAGCGTCGGCGGTGGAAAGCACCATTAGGCGGTTATTAACACCGGAGATCCAGTTCTAAAGCAGTTTGAGGAGTTCCACTTTCACATCCTCTCAGATCTATGGTACAGTGTGGTGTTGGTGTCACCTGCAGCACGCGGCTCATCCACTGGAAGCTGTCCTCTTCGCTGGCGTCCGGTCTCTGCTCAGCCACGATGATCACACGCTCATCGTAAAACACCGTCACTGAGAACACCGCGATCCTGCAAGTAGTAAGTAGTATTAAGTAATATTTATTTATATAGCGCCTTTCACAGACCAAAGCGCTATACAATTGTTTGTTTTTTTGCATTTGTCTCCCACTCCACAGAGATGGGAGTGAGGTCGCCGTACAGGAGGCGCATGTCGGACTTTTTGTACATCTTTTAGTGGTAGGGGAAACCGGAGCACTCGGAGGAAACCGGAGCGCTAGGAGGAAACCTACGCAGACATGGGGAAAACATGTAAACTCCACTCAGAAAGGTCCTGTTCCGACCGGGATTCGAACCCAGGACATTCATTCTGAGAAACGAAAGTACTAACCACTCAGCCACCATACCGCCCACCCACCAATCACAAGGAGTGGAATTGAAGAAAATTCCCAAATGGATAAAAAGATATAAAAGGGAAAAAAGGCTTCAATTGTAATGGAGGCCACTAGATGTCAGCAAAGAGATCAGGACCATTCTGTTTCCACAAAAAAGTGAGAAAATTAATAATCCTGAATGAGTACACATGGAATACAGAACCCTTTCTCTAAATTTAAAAAGTCATGTAAACAAAACTTAAAGTAATATTCTCAGATGCCTCTGAGTAAATGAAAACATGGCTGGATGGTCGTACCGTCCTCTGTAGACCGTTTTGACCGGCTCCACGGCGAGGGCAGTGGCCACGAGATCGTCCGCGTTGTGTCTGCGTCCACTGACCATCAGCAGACCCTCGATCTTACCCACCACGAAGATCAGGCTGCCCTAAAAAGAACAAAACAAATCTGTTCCACACATGTAGGGACACAGAATGTTTGTGACATTGTTTATTCTTGCACTTACTGGTCCCACAAACCCCAGCAGCCCGGACCTCACGAACGGGATCTCTCCGATGGGAACTCCGTTTGCATTGACTGGAATCACCTGGAAAACAGTCATCAATTCAATTCAATTTATTTGTGTACAACTGTAGTGCAGGAGACTAATACATGTTTGTGTTTAGCTTAATTGTATCATTGTTGATGCTGGATATATCAATATTGGCCGATATTGGTGCTGATAATCGGTTTGATCTGTAGTAACTGGTTTGTGTGGCGACACATGCAGGTGAAAGCCAGAGCCTGTCAGACCTCTGAAACTAAGCAGGGAAGGGTTTAGTTAGAACTGTGATGGGAGACCTCTGGGAACACCAGCTGCCACAGTAGGGTGGCTGCGGCCCACTTTATTAATATTTAAAGAAAAAATATATATATTCAGTTTAGTTGCATGTTTTGATTCAGTTTGTCCATGTTTCCATGATGTGGAGTTTTCAGTGAGCGCACCTCAAACGTGTTCTTGGTCAGACCCGGCAGCCCGTAGTACATGGTTCCTCCGGCGCGAGAGTTAATGATGATTTCACCGATTTCGTCAGTTTTGCACAACTGCGGGGGTCCGTCCGGTCTCACGATACACATCAGTGCTTCAGACACAGGAGCGGGAAAGAGCATCACTTTACACACTTAGCTTAATCATGTATTTAAAGATGGTTAGGACAATTTGAAGGTTTGTGTCCTCCCTAATGCTCGAGCCTCACCTCCGGGCATCACATGACCCACGTCCTGCACGGTCAGAGCAGAGTTCTTGTCCTCAGTGTTGACCCGGATCACTCCATGACTGAGACCGGTCATGGAGAGGATGGCCCGAGCCGGGAGGGGCGCGCCTGGGACTCCGGGTCTGTGGAGACACCATGCTACACATTATAACAGAGAAACTGCATCCACAAAAATCCACCCATCGAGTACACAGAGAAACTTTTCCCCCATCTCTTTGGTCCCTCGCTCTGGTCTCTCGCTCTGGTCTCTCTCTCTCTGGTCTCTCTCTCTCTGGTCTCTCTCTCTCTGGTCTCTCGCTCTGGTCACTCGCTCTGGTCTCTCTCTGGTCTCTCTCTCTCTGGTCTCTCGCTCTGGTCACTCGCTCTGGTCTCTCTCTGGTCTCTCTCTCTCTGGTCTCTCGCTCTGGTCACTCGCTCTGGTCACTCGCTCTGGTCTTTCTCTCTCTGGTCTCTCTCTCTGGTCTCTCTCTCTCTGGTCTCTCTCTCTCTGGTCTCTCTCTCTCTGGTCTCTCTCTCTCTGGTCTCTCTCTCTGGTCTCTCTCTCTCTGGTATCTCTCTCTGGTCTCGCTCTCTGGTCTCTCTCTCTCTGGTCTCTCTCTCTGGTCTCTCGCTCTGGTCACTCGCTCTGGTCTCTCTCTCTCTGGTCTCTCTCTCTGGTCTCTCTCTCTCTGGTCTCTCTCTCTCTGGTCTCTCTCTCTCTCTGGTCTCTCTCTCTCTGGTCTCTCGCTCTGGTCACTCGCTCTGGTCTCTCTTTCTCTGGTCTCTCGCTCTGGTCACTCGCTCTGGTCTCTCTCTCTGGTCTCTCTCTCTCTGGTCTCTCTCTCTCTGGTCTCTCTCTCTGGTCTCGCTCTCTCTGGTCTCTCTCTCTCTGGTCTCTCTCTCTCTGGTCTCTCTCTCTCTGGTCTCTCTCTCTGGTCTCTCTCTCTCTGGTCTCGCTCTCTCTGGTCTCGCTCTCTCTGGTCTCGCTCTCTCTGGTCTCTCTCTCTCTGGTCTCTCTCTCTCTGGTCTCTCTCTCTCTGGTCTCTCTCTCTCTGGTCTCTCTCTCTCTGGTCTCTCGCTCTGGTCACTCGCTCTGGTCTCTCTCTCTGGTCTCTCTCTCTCTGGTCTCTCTCTCTCTGGTCTCTCTCTCTCTGGTCTCTCTCTCTGGTCTCGCTCTCTCTGGTCTCTCTCGCTCTGGTCTCTCTCGCTCTGGTCTCTCTCTCTGGTCTCTCTCTCTGGTCTCTCTCTCTCTGGTCTCTCTCTCTCTGGTCTCTCTCTCTGGTCTCTCTCTCTCTGGTCTCTCTCTCTGGTCTCGCTCTCTCTGGTCTCTCTCTCTGGTCTCTCTCTCTCTCTGGTCTCTCTCTCTGGTCTGTCGCTCTGGTCTGTCGCTCTGGTCACTCGCTCTGGTCTCTCTCTCTCTGGTCTCTCTCTCTCTGGTCTCTCTCTCTGGTCTCGCTCTCTCTGGTCTCTCTCGCTCTGGTCTCTCTCTCTGGTCTCTCTCTCTCTGGTCTCTCTCTCTCTGGTCTCTCTCTCTCTGGTCTCTCTCTCTCTGGTCTCTCTCTCTGGTCTCGCTCTCTCTGGTCTCTCTCTCAGTGTTTGGGCCTGTGTGTGCTTGCGAGTGTGTGTCTTGAACCAAAAAAGATGTCTTGTGATACCTTTCCACTGTTGTTTTTGTATTTTCTGTGTGCGTTTCATCCAAAACCCCCTTTATTTTTTATTATTTAAAACATGTGCGTACAGTATGTACATAAGTATGCTGTAGGTATAAATTTGTTGCACAAGTTTTGGAATAATCGTCTCTAAAAACAGCTTCTAGAGAATTTTAGACAGAAGTGTTGTGACATGTTCTTGCATTAGGGTGGATGAAGCTAAACTAGACAAATGTGGAACTGTGCCATCATCCCTCAGGAGTTATCTATGTTTGTGTGTGAAAAGTGTGAGAAGCAGACGGTCAAACAGGGATACACCTCCAGACAGGGCCACAGCAGAGACGGTTGAAACCAGGACAGAGGGAGTGCAGTGACGTGGACTGACCTGCGGATGGCGACAGTGAGTGCCTCTGGAGAAGCAGCGCAGGGACAGATCACCTCCGGCTTAAGACCGTGAGACTGGAACACGTTGAGGAAGGCATCACACGACGACACTGACCCTGAAACACAACATTACATTAGCTACTCTATCATATACATACGGTTGTGTTTGAAAGAGATCATTGTTTTGGCCATGCTTTATGAATGATAAGGAAAACACTGGTTGTGTGAAGAAATACAAGTACAAGGTTTTTTGCCAAGAAGAATGGCCAGCTTTACCATCAGAGAGACTGGGAGACCAGAGAGAGACTAGAGTGGGATAGAGAAAGCCAAGAGAAAGCCTAGAGAAAGCCAAGAAAAAGCCCAAAGAAAGGCCAGAGAGACCAAGAAAGACCAGAGACAAAGACCAGAGAGAGACCAGAGGAAGATCAAAGAGACAACAAAAAACAAACACTCTGAGATAAGACATAGGCCCAAACACTCTCTGACCCCAAACCTCTCTCCCAGCACTCCCTCTGAGCTGAGGGCATCTCTCTCCAGTATTTAAAGTAGCAGTATGTAAGATTTTCATGTCAAGTCATCATTAAATCGCCCTAATAGGTCAAAAGGCATTAATAAACCATACTCTTTTTGAATAATTCTTAAATGAATAACAATAGTTCAGCCTAGATATTTGGATTTCAAAATTAGTTTTACAGCTCCTAAATCTTGTTATTGTTTTCATTTCAATGTCCCGCCTTCCATCGTTTTACCCATCAGAAAGTCTGTGATCCTGGTTGCCAGAACTCACCGTTTCGAGCACATCTCACTGGTAAAGTAACATGGAGCCGCAGGAATAATAAAAGTCTCGTTATGATTCTCAAATCATTCATGACAAAAAAAGGAATAAAACAAGGATTTTCAGATATCATTGTCCCAGCTGGATTTGTCGGCATATCTGGCAACCCGAGTCAGGGAGAGTTGGAGAGGTTGCAGTACCACTTTTGGCCAGATTTTTACATATAGCTCCTTTAAGTATTTCTGCCAAATAGACTGAAATAAAACTAATGTTCCCTTTTGGAAGAGCTTGTTTTGATCATTAAATATATCTTCAAAACATATACGGTGTATTTCTGTGAAAAACTCACAGGGGTTGGCTCCGTCTGCCACGATGAGCATGCGCAGTGAGGTGAAGCTGGTGTCGCGCTGCTCTCTGTGCGCCATCATGGCCCAGTGCAGGTCCCGGCACTTCACCAGGGCCACACGGGCTGCAACACACAGGACACAACACAACTAGGGTCACTTTTCAATATATTCACTCAATACAGCACACACATTCAAATAATGTTAGGAAAAATCATAGACTGTATAGTATAAATACCAGGATGGAAGATACTCTGAACCATGGATTTTTTAAGCCAAAAATGGTGAGCGTGAAAGTGTACTTTTACACTGTGTACTTTTCTGGCTTTAATACAAGTCATTAAAGCCAGAGTGAGGTGGAGAACAACTTTTTCCATGAGCACTTTCCTAAATAGCTCTGAAACAGTTGTTGTTTTGTTATTTGTGATTTTTCTACCTGAGATGTTGCTGCAGTAACTGGTCCACTGGTTCCACTGGTCCAGACCGGAGCGGAGAGGATTCATGGTCCGAAACAAACCCATCAGGCAAAATCCACAGAAGGAATGCTAACTCAATTTGGACTAGAGCAGAGAAAATGATCCCGAACCAAGTGGCTACTCAACCTCTGCTGCTATGGCCTTAATACTATTGTTAGCTATTTTTTTAGAATGATCTATTATCTAAAACTCACAGTAAGACAGTGACAGCTCTAAACAGTTTTGCGTGTCGTGTCTGTTCCCACACTGGTCATATTGGATGGAGATACCTCTGTGGATGTGGACTCTCTGGACCCAGGACAGAGGACAGGCCTTCATCACTGCATACGGAACACTGATGGTGTGGATTCTGTTCATCACGGCCTGGATAAAACACAACACCAAGTCAGACTTTGATTCAAGAATAAATAATATGTCCTGCTGGGGAATGCATGTTGAATATTGGTTTTTTGTTTTTTGATTGACTGCGGAACCTTCCGCAGTCAACCATTGGTTTTGTATTTCTTTATTCCGTCATTTTTTTTGACACGTTTCACAGCTTTCACATTTTCAACAATTTCCACAAGTTATACATCAAAACGTTCCACATGTTTGGGAGATTATTGCTATTACTTTTGGGACTTCAGCGATTTCCGGTTTTTCCGCAATCGGACAAAAATCTGCATTGAGAATTCTGCAATGCATTTTAATAGGCCCATGCATTTTAATAGGACTTCAGCTCTTTCAGACATTTCTACAGTTTCAATGATTCAACAGTTTCAAGGATTCAACAGTTTCAAGGATTTCAGCAGTTTCAAGATTTCAAGAGTTTCAAGGACTTCAACAGTTTCAAGGACTTCAGCAGTTTCAAGGACTTCAGCAGTTTCAAGGACTTCAGCAGTTTCAAGGACTTCAGTGTAATCATGCAACCTAATAGGGATTTTTCCACGTAAACCAGTATAATGCAACTTAATAGGGATTTTTCCATGTAAACCAGTATAATGCAACTTAATAGGGTTTTTTCATGTAAACCAGTATAATGCAACTTAATAGGGTTTTTTTTCATGTAAACCAGTATAATGCAACTTAATGGGGATTTTTCCATGTAAACCAGTATAATGCAACTTAATAGGGGTTTTTACATGTAAACCAGTATAATGCAACTTAATAGGGTTTTTTCCATGTAAACCAGTATAATGCAACTTAATAGGGTTTTTTCCATGTAAACCAGTACAATGCAACTTAATAGGGATTTTTCCATGTAAACCAGTATAATGCAACTTAATGGGGATTTTTCCATGTAAACCAGTATAATGCAACTTAATGGGGATTTTTCCATGTAAACCAGTATAATGCAACTTAATAGGGGTTTTTACATGTAAACCAGTATAATGCAACTTAATAGGGTTTTTTCCATGTAAACCAGTATAATGCAACTTAATAGGGTTTTTTCCATGTAAACCAGTACAATGCAACTTAATAGGGATTTTTCCATGTAAACCAGTATAATGCAACTTAATGGGGATTTTTCCATGTAAACCAGTATAATGCAACTTAATGGGGATTTTTCCATGTAAACCAGTATTATGCAACTTAATAGGGATTTTTCCATGTAAACCAGTATAATGCAACTTAATAGGGATTTTTCCATGTAAACCAGTATAATGCAACTTAATGGGGATTTTTCCATGTAAACCAGTATTATGCAACTTAATAGGGATTTTTCCATGTAAACCAGTATAATGCAACTTAATAGGGTTTTTTTCATGTAAACCAGTATAATGCAACTTAATAGGGTTTTTACATGTAAACCAGTATAATGGAACTTAATAGGGGTTTTTACATGTAAACCAGTATAATGGAACTTAATAGGGGTTTTTACATGTAAACCAGTATAATGCAACTTAATAAGGATTTTTACATGTAAACCACTATAATGCAACTTAATGGAGATTTTTCCATGTAAACCAGTATTATGCAACTTAATAGGGATTTTTCCATGTAAACCAGTATAATGCAACTTAATAGGGTTTTTTTCATGTAAACCAGTATAATGCAACTTAATAGGGTTTTTTTTTCATGTAAACCAGTATAATGCAACTTAATGGGGATTTTTCCATGTAAACCAGTATAATGCAACTTAATAGGGTTTTTTTTTTACATGTAAACCAGTATAATGGAACTTAATAGGGGTTTTTCCATGTAAACCAGTACAATGCAACTTAATAGGGATTTTTCCATGTAAACCAGTATAATGCAACTTAATAGGGTTTTTTTCATGTAAACCAGTATAATGCAACTTAATAGGGTTTTTTTCATGTAAACCAGTATAATGCAACTTAATGTGGATTTTTCCATGTAAACCAGTATAATGCAACTTAATAGGGATTTTTCCATGTAAACCAGTATAATGCAACTTAATAGGGATTTTTCCATGTAAACCAGTATAATGCAACTTAATAGGGATTTTTCCATGTAAACCAGTATAATGCAACTTAATAGGGGTTTTTACATGTAAACCAGTATAATGCAACTTAATAGGGTTTTTTTCATGTAAACCAGTATAATGCAACTTAATAGGGATTTTTCCATGTAAACCAGTACAATGCAACTTAATAGGGATTTTTCCATGTAAACCAGTATAATGCAACTTAATAGGGTTTTTTTCATGTAAACCAGTATAATGCAACTTAATGGAGATTTTTCCATGTAAACCAGTATTATGCAACTTAATAGGGATTTTTCCATGTAAACCAGTATAATGCAACTTAATAGGGATTTTTCCATGTAAACCAGTATAATGCAACTTAATAGGGATTTTTCCATGTAAACCAGTATAATGCAACTTAATAGGGGTTTTTACATGTAAACCAGTATAATGCAACTTAATAGGGGTTTTTACATGTAAACCAGTATAATGCAACTTAATAGGGTTTTTTTCATGTAAACCAGTATAATGCAACTTAATAGGGATTTTTCCATGTAAACCAGTACAATGCAACTTAATAGGGATTTTTCCATGTAAACCAGTATAATGCAACTTAATGGGGATTTTTCCATGTAAACCAGTATAATGCAACTTAATAGGGTTTTTTTTTTACATGTAAACCAGTATAATGGAACTTAATAGGGGTTTTTCCATGTAAACCAGTACAATGCAACTTAATAGGGATTTTTCCATGTAAACCAGTATAATGCAACTTAATAGGGTTTTTTTCATGTAAACCAGTATAATGCAACTTAATGGGGATTTTTCCATGTAAACCAGTATTATGCAACTTAATAGGGATTTTTCCATGTAAACCAGTATAATGCAACTTAATAGGGTTTTTTTCATGTAAACCAGTATAATGCAACTTAATAGGGTTTTTTTCATGTAAACCAGTATAATGCAACTTAATGGGGATTTTTCCATGTAAACCAGTATAATGCAACTTAATAGGGTTTTTTTTTTTACATATAAACCAGTATAATGGAACTTAATAGGGTTTTTTTCATGTAAACCAGTATAATGCAACTTAATGGGGATTTTTCCATGTAAACCAGTATAATGCAACTTAATAGGGTTTTTTTACATGTAAACCAGTATAATGGAACTTAATAGGGGTTTTTCCATGTAAACCAGTATAATGCAACTTAATGGGGATTTTTCCATGTAAACCAGTATAATGCAACTTAATAGGGTTTTTTTCATGTAAACCAGTATAATGCAACTTAATAGGGATTTTTTCATGTAAACCAGTATAATGCAACTTAATGGGGATTTTTCCATGTAAACCAGTATAATGGAACTTAATAGGGGTTTTTACATGTAAACCAGTATTATGCAACTTAATAGGGATTTTTCCATGTAAACCAGTATAATGCAACTTAATAGGGTTTTTTTCATGTAAACCAATATAATGCAACTTAATAGGGTTTTTTTTTCATGTAAACCAGTATAATGCAACTTAATGGGGATTTTTCCATGTAAACCAGTATAATGCAACTTAATGGGGATTTTTCCATGTAAACCAGTATAATGCAACTTAATAGGGGTTTTTACATGTAAACCAGTATAATGCAACTTAATAGGGATTTTTCCATGTAAACCAGTATACTTCAGGAGTTTCAAAGATGTTTAAAGTATTTTAACAGTTTCAAGGATTTCAAGGATTTTTCAGCTAAATTCCACATTAGATCTGTTCCGCAGTCAATCGCAATGGCTTCAGCCATTGCAAACGGTTTCTAGTTGCTATTACTTTTGGGACTTCAGCGATTTCCGGTTTTTCCGCAATCGGACAAAAATCTGCATTGAGAATTCTGCAATGCATTTTAATAGGCCCATGCATTTTAATAGGACTTCAGCTCTTTCAGACATTTCTACAGTTTCAATGATTCAACAGTTTCAAGGATTCAACAGTTTCAAGGATTTCAGCAGTTTCAAGATTTCAAGAGTTTCAAGGACTTCAACAGTTTCAAGGACTTCAACAGTTTCAAGGACTTCAGCAGTTTCAAGGACTTCAGCAGTTTCAAGGACTTCAGCAGTTTCAAGGACTTCAGCAGTTTCAAGGACTTCAGTGTAATCATGCAACCTAATAGGGATTTTTCCATGTAAACCAGTATAATGCAACTTAATAGGGATTTTTCCATGTAAACCAGTATAATGCAACTTAATAGGGTTTTTTCATGTAAACCAGTATAATGCAACTTAATAGGGTTTTTTTTCATGTAAACCAGTATAATGCAACTTAATGGGGATTTTTCCATGTAAACCAGTAATAATCCGGTGACGATGAAACTGGGCATGGACACGTGAAAACTGTGCTAGGGCACTGGCCTTTCTAATTCCCTAGACCCGAGATCCATATTCGGTCAAAAAACGTTTAATACGTTGCTTTAATGAGTGGGGACAGGACTAACAAGAGCAGATACGGGCTACGAAACTACCCGGACCCAGAAATGAAAGAGGACACACCGGCTAACGAAGTGGAGCTAACAGCGGAGCAACATGGCGACCGTAGCATTAGCATGGACATGATTCGAGAAGCAATGAAAGATGCCATGACCTCGTTTCACACAGAAATCAAGAAAGACCTGGAAAACTTCCGTTCTGAAATATGTGAGGAAATGAAGAAACAAACGGGGGAACTAGCGACTGAAATGAGTCAAAAACTTCATGATACCAACATACGAGTGAGTGCGGTGGAGGAGCGGATACAACAGGTGAGGACAGCATGGCCGAGTCCGAGAGATGGGATATCGGAGTGAAGAACACGCTCGTACAACTACTACAGAGCCAGCGGGCTCTCCAGGATAAAGTCTCGGACCTGGAGGGCCGTGCGAGGTGAAACAATATCAGACTGTACGGCGTGCCTGAAGGCTCCGAGGGCACATCCATGGTGGCATTTATCGATAACCTTATCAAGAGCGAGCTTGGAGGAGACGCTCCCATGGACAGAAACTTTGGCATCGAGCGTGCCCACCGTGCATTAGGACCCAAACCACCTGCTAGTGCCCCACCGCGCTCTATAATAGTCCGCTTCCTCAGTTTTTCAATCAAAGAGACCATACTCCACGCAGCTTGGAAGAAGACGGTACGAATCCAGGGTAAGCAAGTGTACTTTGACCACGATTACGCACTGGAGGTGCAGAAAAGAAGGAAGGAGTACATCCCTATTAAACGCGCACTGAAAGAGAAAGGGATTCGTTTCCAAACTCCACTCACCAAGATGCGCGTCTTCTACACGTCGGGAAGCGTCCTCTACGACAGCGCTATCCAAGCCGCTGAGGATCTGCGGAAGCGGGGCATGGACGTGGACCGGGTGCCTGTCACCGCGAGGAGCAACCTGACTACGGAGGAGACGCTGGCACAGCTGCTGCCGTGGGAAACGCAGACAACGCGCCGCGCAGGCTTCCAGGAAAGTATCCGTGAAAAGCTTAAGGTGTTCCGGAGAGAGGGAAATGAGACTGAGTAAGATTCACTCCTTCACCTGGTAATAGTTGTTTTCTTGATCCAAAACTATTTCGTAGCTTGGTCGAAATCCGTTATACACAAACCGGGCCAGTGCCCGCAGCCACAAACTAGCGTCACCGCACCACGTTTTACCCTCTATTTTCCTATAGCGGGTTTTTTTTTGTTTTTCTGTTTTTTTTTATTTATTTTTTTTTTTCTCTTTCTATTCTGCCAGTTTTGGCGAGGGGCCCCACTCAGCGGCTCGACCCCTCACAACTTAAGGACAATAGTATATCCTTTTCAATGGAAGTACATTGTTATGTTGTTTTTTCATGTTTGACAAGTTCCTGTCTTATTGTTACTATGTTGAGGTTGGGCATGGCATGCTATGTTCTCATGTTTGTTAATGGCTTTTAAATATTATAATGTACTGTCACTAAATGTAAACGGATTAAATAACTGTATAAAAAGAAGTAAACTGATAGTTAAAATGAAAAGGGAGAAGGCAGATATTATATATTGGCAAGAGACTCACTTATCTAATTCAGAACATGACAAACTGAAGAAAATGGGGTTCAAAAATACATTCTATTCATCACACAGAAGTGGCAAAAAACGAGGAGTGGCAATCCTAATACCTAACAGAATTAAATTTGAGCTAGTATCTGAAAAACATGATAAGGAAGGAAGATACATTTTGGTAAAGGGTAAAATAGACCAAAAACCTGTCACACTGCTTAATGTATATGCACCTCCTGGAAGTGACACAATATTTTTCAAGAATATATTTAACTTAATTACGACTGAATGCCATGGATCCTTAATCTGTGCTGGGGACTTCAACCTTTTATTAAATACCCGATTAGACACAACAAATAGTGGCAGGAAACATACAGCCACAGAGAAAGCAGTTAAGAGAATGCTTTCAGACTTGGGGCTCATCGATGTGTGGCGCTTTATGCACGGATCAGCCCCTGGGTTTACCTTTTACTCTGCACGCCACTCCGCCCACTCAAGAATAGACTACTGTTTTACAAATAACAACAATTTACATAGAATAAAGGAATGCAAAATTGGCCAAAGAGACGTGTCTGACCACTCAGGGCTATATCTAAAATGACATCTGGATGGGATACAGAGGGAAACACTGTGGCGACTTAATACCGGTATGCTGAATGACTCAGCATTTATAAAGACTATGACATCAGATCTGTCCTTATACTTAAAAGAAAATGACAATGGAGAAACAAGTCCTAGTATTTTATGGGATGCAGCTAAAGCTGTCCTTAGAGGAAAAATTATTTCAATATCAGCTAGGCTTAAAAAACAGAAAACACAAAAACTCTCACATTTGCAAGTACTACTGAAAATGCTTGAAGAAACTCAATTGACAGACAAAAGTACAACTGTAAGACAACAAATTCAAACGACTAAACAAGAAATTGATAAGATATTAGGAGAAGAAGTGGAGAAAAACATACGGTTTATGAAACAGAGATATTACGAAACGGGCCCAAAAGCATCAAAAAATTACTGGCATGGCGACTCAAAAAGCAACAGGCTGAAAATACAATATACAAAATAAGAGATCCAGACAGCCGTAAAGTTGTAACAAGTCTGGATGACATCCAAAGCGCTTTTGAGAAATATTACACATCCTTATATAGTCAGTCTGGTTCAATTGATGAAAATGCCACAACTAGTTTTTTAAACTCCTTGGATCTCCCCTCTCTTGGTCGGGATGCAAATGAAAAATTGACCTCACCCATAACACGAATGGAAATAGATAAAGCCATATCCAGTCTTAATTCTAGCAAGTCACCAGGCACTGATGGGTTCCCACCTGAATGGTATAAGAAAATGAGGGAAGATCTAGTACCCGTTTTGGAAATCAGTTTCAATTATATATTAAAGGGTGGCCCTATCCCTCCATCATGGAAAGAGGCCTTCATATCTGTGATACCTAAAGATGGGAAAGACAGAACAGACTGTAAATCATACCGTCCAATTAGTGTCCTAAACACAGACTATAAACTGTACATGACTATTTTAGTTAAAAGAATGGACACAGTGATGCCTTCGCTCATTGACGAGGATCAAACTGGATTCTTAAAAAATAGGCAGACCCACGACAACATAAGAAGAACTTTGCACGTTATCGAACAAATTAACAAAAAAAAACTAAAAGCAGTTATTCTAAGCCTAGATGCCGAAAAAGCTTTTGACTCCGTTCAATGGGACTTTCTTTACTCTGTAATGAAAAGATTTGGATTCTGTAGTGATTTCATAAAATGCATCCAAGCTCTCTACTGCCCCCCACAGCCAGAATCAAAGTAAATGGGAGTCTTTCAAACCCCATTCAGCTCCAGCGGGGCTGTCGCCAGGGCTGCCCCGGAAGTCCAAATTTATTTAATATTTTTATTGAGCCCTTAGCCCAAGCTATAAGGCAGGAGACTAGATTAAAGGGTATTCAAATAGGGGGAGAGGAGTATAGGGTGTGCCTGTACGCTGATGATGTCTTAATAACAATGACAGAACCCGACCTTGGTTTACCAGTGCTGACAGGAATATTAGAGCAATATGGTTCCTTTTCTGGTTACACCCTCAACACTCATAAAACTCAGATTATGACATTCAATTATCACCCTAGACAGGAATTTATGACTAAGTTTAATGTAAATTGGTTCTCTGAGCAGATTAGATACTTAGGGGTTAATTTACCTAAAGATCTCTCAAAACTATCTGATAAAAAACTATAACCCTCTTAACCAGGAAATATACAGGGACTTGGACAGGTGGAGCCTCCTCCCCTTGACTTTGGAAACAGAATACAAACAATTAAGATGAACATTCTTCCAAAATTACTGTACGTTTTCTCATCCCTACCTGTGTCTATTCCTGACAAACAGTTCAGGGAATGGAATAAACATATCTCCAGATTTATTTGGCAGAAAAACAGACCAAGAATTAGATTCTCCACGTTACAATTGCCGAGGGAGAAGGGGGGGCGGGCTCTTCCCTCTCTACGGGAATACTACATATCAGCACAGCTAAGACCCCTGGTCTGCTGGTGTAACCCATCCTACTGTGCAAAATGGAAAACTATTGAGATGTCTTACAGTGATGCGCCAATTCAGGCTATATTAGGTCACATTTCCCATGAGAGTTTAACCGAAAGCCAGTGGGTAAATTTTTCACTGAAAATATGGAAATCTGAAGTAAAGAAACTACAGATTCAAGAGGAGATCAAACTTCTCAGATGGCCAGCCTACGACCCTGACTTTCCACCTGCCTCTCATGATGCTACATTTCGGCACTGGGCATTACATGACATCACGGCTGTATGTACGGTTTATGAAAAATCTAATTTAATGACATTTGATGCTTTATGTAAGAAGTTAAACCTGGAAAAACATGATTTTTTCCGATACTTACAGCTTCGTAACTATATTACTAAAAACATGCAACATATTAAGTCTGATCTTTCTGCACTTATTCTCATTTTCATTAATGCATATAATTCCTCTAGTCTTAAACGTGTAATAAGTAAACTATACAGCAGTTTGACTGCACTCAAGACAAACTCAACTTACATAAAGCAGAAATGGGAAAAGGAGATGAACGTTGTTATTTCAGAGGACATGTGGACAAGGATTTGGGAAGTACAGTTCTCAACGACCAATTCAAACACCTGGAGGGACTTCTGTTGGAAGAACATTGTCCGTTTCTTCATAACACCGATACAAAAATCCAAGTTCAGCCCTACTCAAACACACTGCTGGAGAGAATGCGGGGAAGCATCAGCAGACCACGGACACATTTTTTGGTCCTGCCCGCTCATTCAGCCATTCTGGATAGACTTAGAAAACATAATTGCAAAAACATTGGGATATGGCATCAATAACTCCTTTTTGGTGCTGTATTTGGGATGTTTACCCACCAACATGGCCGCAGATGATTTGTACCTTTTCAAGATTCTTCTGGCATCAGCCAAGAAGTCCATAACTAAAAACTGGTTGCAGAAACATCCACCTACGGTAAATCTGTTCATTTCAATTGTGGAAAATATTAAACTCATGGAGCGGATGACCTACACTTTGCGACTTCAGGAAGAACTGGGAAAAAGGCGCTGGGCAAAGTGGCTGGACTTTATAAATAGTGACAGTACAGAGACGGTACAACAAATGTGAATTGTAGACTCAATGTTTGTATTTTTGTATTATATTGCTAGCCATCCCCCAACCTCTAATGTTTGTGTTTAAAAATTGCAAAAATAAAAAGTTTCAAAAAAAAAAAAAAAAAGATACAAAATAAATTGTTTGAAAACAGAAAAAACAAGTTTATTACTACTTAGTTTAGTTGATGTATAATATTTTTTTTCAGATTTTCTTTCAAGAAGCTTGGAAAAAGAAGGCCAAGCAGTTCTTTTTGTTGTATGTTTTACACTGTAATTTCTCCAAATAGTTCTATGCCTAAAAAGTCTCTAGTGAGATCATTTTTCTTTGAGTAGAGTAGAGTGGAGTAGATTGGAAAAAAGCAGAGCAGAGTAGAGTAAAGTAGAGTAGAGTAGAGCTGTGTAGAGTAGGGTTGAGTAGAGAAGAGTAGAGCTGTGTAGAGAAGAGTGGAGAAGAGTAGAGTAGAGAAGAGTGGAGAAGAGTAGAGTAGAGAAGAGTGGAGAAGAGTAGAGTAGAGAAGAGTGGAGAAGAGTAGAGTAGAGAAGAGTGGAGAAGAGTAGAGTAGAGAGGAGTGGAGAAGAGTAGAGTAGAGAAGAGTGGAGAAGAGTAGAGTAGAGAGGAGTGGAGAAGAGTAGAGTAGAGAAGAGTGGAGAAGAGTAGAGTAGAGAAGAGTGGAGAAGAGTAGAGTAGGGCTGTCTATAGTAGGGCTGGTGGAAACAGGACGTTAGTAAGCTGCTGTATACTCACTGACCTTTCGGGACAGTGGGACCTCGATGGGCACAGGGATGACCTCAGCCAGCAGACAGCCGTAGAAGGCCACCCAGAACATACCCGGGTCACTGTTGGGGTACACCAGCGCCACCTACAGACACATACAGGCTTTGGTCATCTTACATCCGTTTGGAGTGATGTGCAAAAATAAATAGAGGGACAGGAAGGAGACCAGGGAGAGAAGGAAAAGAGAAAGAGGACCACCCTCACTCTGCCAATCAGCTCGCAGCCCAAAGAGTCAAATAGTCCCTCACAAGGTTAATTCTTAAAAGTATGAAAAAAAATGTTTTGAAGACACCATGCTGTGGTCTGATTTGTTCATATTTTACTTATACAAGACAATTTGTGACGTCACCGTAGTACTTCCTGGTGTCACTTTAGCTTATATCCTAGCTATTTCCACACATGTCATTGGTCTTACCCGGTCTCCAGGCTTCAGGATTTGCTCATTCTTTGTGCCCAGTTTGTGCAGGAGTGTGTAGGCCAGCTTCACACTGCGGCTCCACAACTTTCCTACAAACAAAACACACACACACAGACTAAACACACAACCATAAAAATCAACAGAACAAGGACTGAAGAACAAAACAAGAATAGAAGTATCTGTAGTGCAGGGGTGTCACACTGATTTTGGTTGAGGGCCGGTTTTAAAGATCAGGGCTGAAAGTATAAATATGTTCATATTTTATTATATAGTTATTATTTACATTTTGACAAATGAATTTTATTTGGCATGAGTTTGGATATTATTTTCTGGTAGTTTTCTGGAGTTTACCGTCTGGATTGAACCAAAACCAAACTAAATATCTTATTAGAATAACCTTATAAGTTAACAAGAAAGAGACCAGAGTGAGACCTGAGAGAGACCAGAGAGAGACCAGAGAGAGACCAGAGAGAGAGAGACCAGAGAGAAACCAGAGAGGCCAGAGAAAGGCCAGAAAGAGACCAGAGAGAGACCAGAGAGAGATCAGAGAGAGAGACCAGAGAGAGGACAGAGAGAGATCAGAGAGAGGACAGAGAGAGATCAGAGAGAGGACAGAGAGACCTGAGAGAAACCAGAGAGAAACCTAGAAACCAGAGCAAGACCAGAGAGGGACCAGAGAGAGGGAGGACCAGAGAGAGACCAGAGAGAGACTAGGGAGAGAGACCAGAGAGAGGCCAGAGAGAAACCAGAGAGTGACCAGAGAGTGGGACCAGAGAGAGACCAGAGAGAGACCTAGAAACCAGAGCAAGACCTGAGAGATCAGAGAAAACCTAGAGAGAGAGGAGAAGAGAGAATAAAGAACCACTAAAGAGTCCAAGCCCATCCATCCATCCATTTTCTTCCGCTTTATCCGTTGTCGGGTTGCGGGGGCAGCAGTCTAAGCAGAGACGCCCAGACTTCCCTATCCACACACACTTCCTCCAGCTCGTCCGGGGGGACCCCAAGGCGTTCCCAGGCCAGCTGAGAGACATAGTCCCTCCAGCGTGTCCTAGGTCTTCCGCGGGGCCTCCTCCCGGTGGGACGTGCCCGGAACACCTCCCCAGGGAGGCGTCCAGGAGGCATCCGGAACAGATGCCCGAGCCACCTCAACTGGTTCCTCTCGACGTGGAGAAGCAGCGGCTCTACTCCGAGCTCCTCCCGTGTGACTGAGCTCCTCACCCTATCTCTAAGGGAGCGCCCAGCCACTCTGCGGAGGAAGCTCATTTCGGCCGCTTGTATCCGCGATCTCGTTCTTTCGGTCATTACCCAAAGTTCATGACCATAGGTGAGGGAGGGAACGAAGATTGACCGGTAAATTGAGAGCTTTGCCTTTCGGCTCAGCTCCCTCTTTACCACAACGGTCCGATACAGCGACCGCATCACTGCGCACGCTGCCCCGATCCGCCTGTCAATCTCACGCTCCATTCTTCCCTCACTCGTGAACAAGACCCCGAGATACTTGAACTCCTCCACTTGAGAAAGGACCTCTCCACCCACCTGCAGAGGGCAAGGCACCTTTTTCCGGTCGAGCACCATGGCCTCAGATTTGGAGGTGCTGATTCTCATCCCAGCCGCTTCACACTCGGCTGCAAACCGCCCCAGTGCATGTTGCAGGTCCTGGTTCGTTGGAGCCAACAGGACAACATCGTCCGCAAACAGCAGAGATGAAATCCTGTGGTCTCCGAACCGGACCCCCTCCGACCCCTGGCTGTAAACCGCTTTGTGACTCTGGTCTGTGAAAGGCGGTATATAAATAAAGCTTACTTACTTACTTACTTACTGGCTGCGCCTAGAAATTCTGTCCATAAATACAGTGAACAGAACCGGTGACAAAGGGCAGCCCTGTCGGAGGCCAACATTCACCGGGAACAGGTCTGACTTACTGCCGGCAATGCGAACACAGCTCTGGCTCCGGTCATACAGGGATCGGATGGCCCTCAGCAGAGGACCCCCGACCCCGTACTCCCGGAGAACCCCCCAAAGGACACCCCGGGGAACACAGTCGAACGCCTTCTCCAAATCCACAAAACACATGTGGACAGGTTGGGCGAACTCCCATGAACCCTCGAGTATCCGATGGAGAGTATAGAGCTGGTCCAGTGTTCCGCGACCGGGACGAAAACCACACTGCTCCTCCTGGATCCGAGATTCGACCATCGGCCGTAACCTCCTCTCCAGTACCCTGGAGTAGACCTTACCGGGGAGGCTGAGGAGTGTGATCCCACGATAATTGGAACACACCCTCCGGTCCCCCTTCTTGTAGAGAGGGACCACCACCCCGGTCTGCCACTCCATTGGCACTGCCCCCGATCGCCACGCGATGTTGCAGAGACGTGTCAGCCAAGACAGTCCTACAACATCCAGAGACTTTAGATAATCAGGGCGGATCTCATCCACACCCGGAGCCTTGCCACCATGGAGGCTACCAACCACCTTGGTGACCTCAGCCAGGGAGATGGATGTATCCGCCCCAACATCCTCAGCCTCTGCCTCTGTAACAGAGGACGTGACGGGGGGATTGAGGAGAACCTCAAAGTATTCCTTCCACCGCCCGACAATATCCCCAGTCGAGGTCAGCAGCTCTCCACCCGCACCGTACATGGTGTTGGCAAAGAACTGCTTCCCCCTCCTGAGGCGCCGGATGGTTTGCCAGAATCTCTTCGAGGCCGACCAATAGTCATGCTCCATGGACTCTCCGAACTCCTCCCAGTCCCGGGTTTTTGCCTCTGCAACAGCCCGGGCCGCGGCACGCTTGGCCTGCCGGTACTGGACAGCTGCCTCAGGAGTCCCCCGAACCATCATGGCTTCTTCAGCCTGACAGCATCCCTTACTGCCGGTGTCGACCACCGGGTTCGGGGGTTGCCGCCGGGACCAGCACCAGAGACCTTGCGACCACAGCTACGAGCCGCCGCATCGGCGATTGAGGCAGAGAACATGGTCCACTCGGACTCCATGTCCCCCTCCTCCGCCGGGACCTGGGAGAAACTCTCCCGGAGGTGCGAGTTGAAAGTCCGTCTGACAGGGGGCTCAGCGAGACGTTCCCAGCAGACCCTCACTATACGCTTGGGTCTGCCAGGTCTGACCGGCTTCTTCCCCTGCCAGCGGATCCAACTCACGACCAGGTGATGATCGGTTGACAGCTCCGCCCCTCTCTTTACCCGAGTGTCCGAGACACGCGGTCGAAGGTCAGATGATACGACAACAAAGTCGATCATCGACCTCCGGCCTAGGGTGTCCTGGTGCCACGTGCACTGGTGGACACCCTTGTGCTTGAACATGGTGTTCGTGATGGACAAACTGTGACTGGCACAGAAGTCCAACAACTGAACACCGCTCGGGTTCAGATCAGGGGGGCCGTTCTTTCCGATCACCCCTCTCCAAGTGTCACTGGCGACTCCCACATGGGCGTTGAAGTCCCCCAGGAGAATAACGGAGTCCCCGGGCGGTGCACCGTCCAGTACCCCTCCCAAGGACTCCAAGAAGGCCGGGTACTCTGCACTGCTGTTAGGCCCGTAGGCCGTCACAACAATGAGAAACTTGTCCCCCACCCGGAGGCGGAGGGACGCGACCCTCTCATTCACCGGGGAGAACTCCAACACATGGCGGCTGAGATGGGGGGCAATGAGAATGGCCACCCCAGCTTGCCGCCTCTCCCCGCGGGAAACTCCAGAAAAGTGGAGCGTCCAACCCCTCTCAAGGAGTTGGGTTCCAGAGCCCAAGCTGTGTGTGGAGGTGAGGCCGACTATCTCTAGTCGGTATCGCTCAACCTCCCCCACGAGCTCGGGCTCCTTCACCCCCAGTGAGGTGACGTTCCACGTCCCAAGAGCCAGATGTTGTGTGTAAGGACTGGGTCGCCGAGGTCTCCGCCTTCGACTGCCGCCCAGTCCTCTCAGCACCGCGCCACCACGGACCCCTCTGCAGGTGGTGGGCCCACAGGAGGGACTGCCCACGTCATCCCTTCGGGCTGGGCCCGGCCGGGCCCCGTGGGCTAAGGCCCGGCCACCAGGCGCTCGCATACGAGCCCCGACCCCAGGCCTGGCTCCAGGGTGGGGCCCCGGCTGCGCCATGCCGGGCGACGTCACTGCTCTCATTATAGTGCGATCCATGGTGGTTTTTGGACTGCGCTTCGTCTGACTCGTCACCTGAGACCTGTCTGCCGTGGGAGGCCCTACCAGGGGCATGAAGCCCCAGACAGCATAGCTCCCAGGATCATCTGAGTACTCAAACTCCCCCACCACGTTAAGGTGGCAGTCCAGGGGGGTCATGTTAAATTTGTGCTATTTGACATTATACTGTATCCAAACACAGCTCTTACCATAAGTGAGTGTGTAGAGGGGCTTCCCGGTGATGTCCAGGGCGGTCAGAGCAGGACTCTTGCCCTGGGTCGCACCCCATCGAGCCAAAGCCGCCTGGAGTGCAGGGGGCCAGTTACTGACCACCCCCAGAGGCTCCCCCTTCACTGGGATGATCTGTCTGCCCTCGGGCTTTGGCGTGTTGGGGTCCGGCTGGGGCACTGGAGGAACAAAAGAACAAACGTGAACAGGTCTAAGCTGCCGAATTGTCTGATTATTCACAGATTTAGAAAAGGAGACTAAAAACATGTGGTAAGTGAAGGAAGCTGCAATGTTGGGGGAGATTCTGGATCCAGAAATAAAATCTACAGTTGTGAATCTCATCACTATCAAAAAATGATCTGGGATAAACATTTGAAAAACTTTTTGGACCAGGCCCATGAGTTCAAGGCAGGTCTCCCCCTTCCTGGAGTCCTTGATCTACAGCCTCAGTCCTGGATCTACAGCCCCAGTCCTGGATCTACAGCCCCAGTCCTGGATCTACAGCCTCAGTCCTGGATCTATAGCCTCAGTCCTGGATCTACAGCCTCAGTCCTGGATCTACAGCCTCAGTCCTGGATCTACAGCCTCAGTCCTGGATCTACAGCCTCAGTCCTGGATCTACAGCCTCAGTCCTGGATCTACAGCCTCAGTCTTGGTTCTACAGCCTGTCTGTCCGTGGGAGCAGAACCCTCTCTCAATGTGGGCCTCCCCTTCTCTCGATTTTTTGCACTGTTTTTTTTCTAGCTATTCCTTGCCGATGCAGGGGGTATAAAGACAGTGATGATACAGGACATTTAATAACATTTATGGACAGGGGTACCCCCCTCACAATGGATCAATCGCTCCAATGTTTGTTATTCTTGCATTTCCAGTGTTCGAACCTTTTTGATTCTCTGATCTGTTGTTGGTGAACTGACAACTTTGTGAAGTGACTGACCTTCCACAATCTCCTCTGAGTCGTCGGTGAAGAACTCGCTGAGCGGCGGTCGCTTGGGCCTCTTCAACGTGTTAAGGAGCTGCTGGATTTTAGTGGAGACGCGACTGTTTACTGGAACTCCTGCGATAAACACAAAAACACACTTTAAACACGGCCGTGGAGAAACATGGCTGAGGTTTAACAGGACACGGTCTTAGCCTGGCCAGCCACGTCCTCCTCTGTGCGGGTCTGACGGTCTGGCCAGGCTAACGCAGTCTGCTGCTCCTAATCCCAGGACTTAATCATTACAATATTTATTAGAGTTTTAAGTTTTTGTCATTGTTGTCAAAGTGCACAGGACAGGGTTGATTCTATTTACTACTACTACTACTACTACTACTACTACTACTACTACTACTACTACTACTACTACTACTACTACTACTACTACTACTACTACTACTACTACTACTACTACTACTACTACTACTACTACTACTACTACTACTACTACTACTACTACTACTACTACTACTACTATTTGTTATGTTGTTAAATCATTTGCTGTTAAATTGTATGTGAGTTTTTGGGCCAATAAAGGGACTATAGTATTATATGTATGATTCTCAAGATTCCAAAAGTCTAACTCCCAGAGTAGGGTTAGAGTCGGCTTTTAGTTTTAGCATAATTACTCAGCTAATGTACAGTTTTGCTCTTCCTAACACTGTGACTTTTTCTGTAACTGTATGCAGTTTGTTTCTTATTCATTTTAATGTAATAAAAGTCGCTCTACCTTTTCGCTTGGCAACCATCCACCATGGCAGTTAAGTCCCTTTTCTCAAGGTGCCAGTCCAGGATTGGTCTAAATTTGTTTCGCTGAGTTTTCCACCAGAGAACAGCAATCGTTTACTTGCAGCAGTTTGCATTTGGTTGCTTTTTTTTGCTCTATTAGTATGGGAGAAAAGGTTTCACAATTCTGTGAGTCCTAGTGTTAAAAGTTAAAAGTGCTGAGTGTTGTATGAGAGAATAACGCACAAAAACTTTTGTCTGTGGGAGAAATTAGTTGAACATTTCTGGTACAAGGACTCAGAGCGTAACAAGTTTGAGACGGGAGCATTTAGACAGAAGGGGCAGGGGGGACGTGTTTGTGCCTGACGTTCCTCATTTTAGCATAGAGTTATGTCTGTTTATATGAGGGAACATCATTGCAACATGGTTAAAAGCTTAAAAAAGACTATTGTGCCGGTGCCCAATATTATGTTGGAATTATCTGTTTTTTTATATACAATGGGGCTTTAGTGCTGACTTTTTTGTATTTTAAGGTTCTCTCTGGAAAATCTTATTTGATCTCATATCAAGATCGAACACTTGTACTGGAATTTGCAGCATTTTATACTTTCTCCTTATTATGTTAAGGTCAAGGGTTTTGTACTTGATTCTTGCTTCCTCATAATGCTAAAGTTGGAGATTTTGAGACTAGAGTTAAAGATTATATTTAAATTTTTTAGTATAGAGTTATTATTAATCTATTTTGTGTTGTGTGCTCCTCATTCCTACTGTTCTGTAACTTGTGATGCAACACTGAAATCCCCCCACTGTAGGTCAAATAAAGGATCTCTCTCGCTCTAAACCTATTCAATGTAACAATTGTATTCTGTCAAATGCACTTTAAAAACCTATTTCCGTGGGAATAAACAGCAGCACACTACAGAACAGACATAGACACATCAAAGGTGTGACTGAGGGAGAGTTCTGTCAGTGATAATAGCGACAGTTCATTCTCGGTGTGTTTGGCATTCACCACGACAACAGGAGAAAGAGGGACCAGGACACAAGGTTATCCACATTAGAAACATGATAAAAAAGCTTACTCTGGAGATTACCACGCGCTATAGAGACATTGAGAAGAGCAGAAGTTAATGAAATAATGTAGAGAGAAAATAGTTTTATATTCCTAGTCAAATACATACACAGCTGGTCAAAAGTTTGGCCTCCCCCGGACAATATTTTCAATGAAATCTCAAATTTTTGTAGACAATTTTAACCAGACAAAGAAAGATATCAGCTCCATTCATTGTCTCATAGAAGCAGTGTGGTTTATGATTGTACATGTACGTATATTATCTGGATAGGGTATTGCTGCTTGCACCCGTCTCCACATGAACTAGAGGACACTTGCGGTACTACAGCATAAATCCACCCAGGCAGACGTCTTGGAGACCCGGGGCAGACATCTTGGAGACCTGGAGCAGACGTCTTGGTGATCCAGGGTGGCCATATTGGAGATTTGGGGCAGACATCTTGGAGAGCTGAGGCAGACATCTTGGTGACCTGAGGCAGACATCTTGGCGACCTGAGGCAGACATCTTGGTGACCTGAGGCAGACATCTTGGCGACCTGAGGCAGACATCTTGGCGACCTGAGGCAGACATCTTGGCGACCTGAGGCAGACATCTTGGCGACCCGGGGTGGCCATCTTGGAGATTTGGGGCAGACATCTTGGAGACCCGTGGCTTGGTCTGGACCAACAAACTGAATATGCAGTATGTGCGTCTCATTGAGCAGATATAAACTTGTATAAACATTACTAACATCAGCATGGCATTTCCCTGTGCTCTTAAATGAGTCTACTGGCCTTGTCTCGGTACGATTAATATGGTTACAAGCAACGTAAACGCAGTATAAATGACAGATTTTTCCCACCTTAATCAGCAAGCAAATTTACATACCTCTTAATTGATGTATTTTAATTGGACTAAACTGATGCATTATTATTATTATAATTAAAGGAGATTTACCTGGCGCTTTGAAAAAGTACTCAATGATTTACTTCTGAGCCCCAAACTTTTGAGCAGCTGCAGCGTGAGTGTGGGAACGTTTCTCACCGTCTGCAGTCTCCATCATACTGGAGCGGCTCTGGATTCGGTTCATCCCCCGCACGGTGGCGTTGGAGGGACGGTCCACGCGGGGCCCTCTGGTGGTGGCAGGCGGGACTACAGCGGTCACATCTGGAGGTGGTGCACTGTTCTCAGCCGCAGCTAAACATGAAAAACAAGACATCTTTAGTTCTCTCCAACCTCAATCTTTAAAGGAGTCTTTTTTTAAAACTATGTCGTAAAAAAGTACTAATTCATTTTATTAGTACTTTTAACTTCCACATTTTAAGTTAAATTCAAGACCACTAACCAACATTTATTTTAGATTCCTTTTTGAAAGACCACAATAAAGAAATAGAGGACTGTAAAGGAAAACTTAACACATGACTTTGTTTTGGTCCGAGTTATGAGCAAAAGTTCAAGTTGTATTAGTACTATTTCAAGCCACTATATGTACATATAACTCTGATTTAAAGATATGGTAAAATATACGTTTTCTGTAACAACTGTAGACAGGACAAGTGGCCATCTAAGTGGTTCATTAATATAAAAAACATGATAACATGAAAATGTGAAGGTTCAGATCCAGGTGAACATTTCTGTTGCATACAACTGAAGAGTTTCTTCATTCTTTTGAATGTACAGTAATTATTAATGCTTTGAGTAATTGTACGTTTTATTTTGATTTGTTGAGCACTTTGAGTCAGCTTGTGTATGAACTGTGCTGTATAAACAAACTTTCTCTGCCTAAGAATATTTTTCACTACTATACAAGATACAAAAGAGATGTTTTATTTATTTTTGTACAATTTCGTAGCTGATTTTTGTTTGTTTATTTAGAAATTTAATTTTTTCATTTATTTTTGTATTTAGAATTTGAGATTTTTCTATATACTGTAATAAGTTCATCTAACCTTCATTCGTCCCACAGTGGGGATATTTCAATATTGCAGCGCACATACAGGACGGTAGTAAGAGCACACAACACAAAATATATCAATATCAATAAAGTTATAAATACAGTATATAGGGCAGGATAATGTGTAGATAAAGTGACATCCCGTGGACATTGCAAATTGCACATGATTGCAGTAATTACTATTTACATAATACATTTTCAGTTAATTTAATATAGTTTTTTATTTTTGTTCAAATGGGGCCTTTATGTTTTACTGAATGGTAACAAATTGTGTTTATACATGTATCTAAATGTGTATTGTATCATCTCTCAGCCCAATGTATTATATTTAGTACATTTGAAATTGATCTGAAAGCATGTTATAAAACCGTGCTGGTCCATTGGGTCATGGTCTCCGGGCCGGAGGTTCTACTGACCTATTATGAAAGAAACTAGTCCAAACTCGGGCTGTAATTAACCAATCATCTGATAATCAATTAGTTGTTTGGATCAGTGTTTTGGGACATAGTGTGCCTTGAGATGTTGTTAGGTGTGCCTTTAGATGGTACATGTCTTGTCCTGTTCTGTATTTTATTTTATAATGGCCATGACTTGTCCTTGTTTCCAGTTTACATCCTGTCCTTGATTCCTGCCCCACCTCTTGCCTTCAGTGTATTTAGTTTATGCGTTCTCTGCATCATGTGTCGGATTGTCTTATTCCCTGTGTTGTTGCTTCTACTTCTTTGTGATTTGTTTTTAAAGACTTAAAACCCTCAAACTGCGCAATTCACGACAGAGTTAAGTATAAAATCTAGATTCCTGACCGATGCGGCTGTGGGCGAGCAGGTTGGAGACCGTGGCGGCGTTGGTCTCGGCGTTGGGCTGATACAAAGGCTGGTACTGGGGCTTGTACTGGGGCTGGGCCTGGGCCGGTTTGGCCTCTCCGTGGGACATGGTGGAGGAGGCCGAGGAGGAGGTGGAGGAGCCCTGGACCGTGCGGTTTATCCAGGCCTCAGGACTCTGCAGGGACGGGCTCGCCTGGAAACTCGTCTGTGAAGGAACAAAGGCAGCGTTAGTGAAAGTGCCGAGTCAGAGAGTGAGATTACGGAAAGAATTTGACTTTATGTAATCATGATCAATATGTACAGTAGGTGTTTCTTAAATTCTGTGGTGGAAGAAAGCAACGGACAATCAGGCTTTGTTAATCTTGTTTGTTTAAATGTAATCTTATATTTGTCCTATTAAAGGAGTATTTCAGATGTATTGTAATATGTTTTAAATGAGACAAAATGGACCAGAGTGACAAAAAAGACCTACATCTCATACGATAAAACATCTCATTACAGTTAGTTTTCACATGGATGTATTTTTGGCCTCTGTCACATCATTAGCTCAGCTTTCTCAGACTAAATGTTAAAAACAGAGGACCACCTGCACTCAGCCACATCAGTTCTCAGCCTAAAGAGTCCAACAGGGACTGTTTCTAATACAAAACATATTTTCTGATTAAGAGCATCTAAATTCAAAACATTTTACTTTTACAAGACTCTTTCTGTTGGGACAAACAGCACGTATCATTATTATAAGAACAAGTCAGGTACCCCAGCTTTAAAGACACTCTCACTTGAGTGGACATGGACATTGAAATGAGTCATCGGACCTTATGGCTATAACACTGGAACTCCCAGAGCAGTCAATTTGATGGCTTTTTGTTTTGGAAGTGTAATTACTGCGCTTATGTACATTTTTGGTCTTTATAACTTTTTCCTGTTTCTATAATTATTACTATGTCATTATGTTTATCTCGCCCCTCGACTGATCCTGGACTGGCTCATAGCAATTTCAGCTTGGACCAAGTGCTAGTTACCATAGCAACACACTCTTTACTTACAGCAGTTAGTACTTGTTTTTGCTGTATTTCAGTTGTATTCGCAAGATTTAGCACATGTTAAAGAAAAAACATTTAAGAATCACTTAAAAGTAGCGAAAAACTCTTGTTATGGCATTTTTAAAGAATTGCATTCATGATAAAGGGAGCCGTCAAAATGATTCTAGAAGTTCCAGAATTTTGTGAGTCCTGGTGTTAAGTCTCCACACCATCGTCTGCTGTAATGAAAGCTGGTGATGGACAGACCATGAAAGGTCTCCGGTGAGCCGTGTGCAGAGGGCCTCACCTGGAGAGTGGGGGGGACCTGAGGCATCGGAGCAGCTCCTGTGGATTGTCTGCGGCTGGACGAGTCGTCTTCAGAGCCCGAGGACGAGTCTAGAGAAGGAGGAGTTCAAACTGTGACAAGTGCCCATGAAACTATAGCCCTGTTTCCACCAGCCCTGCTCTACACGGCTCTAATCTACCTGGCTGCGTTTCCATTATTCTTTATATACAAACCAGTATCCGAGAACAATACTTGGTAACAATGGCTTCCAGCAGCACTTTGATAAGTCACTGTCAGTAAGAACACTTCCAGCTCGGCCTGGATAGAACCAGGGTCAAGCAGGTACTAGAGTAGAGTCGGGCCAAGTAGGGCGGGTGGAAACAGTGCTCACGGTTTGGATATGTGGGTCTTTCTCCAGTAGGGTACACTCAATCAACCCTGGCTCCAAAAGTACGATTCCAAAGTCCTGCATGAATAGCAAGCTTTGGCTCGGCAATATACATTTTTCACCCCACTCCAGTAAACCCGAGACAACAGTGGGAAAAGAGTTTTTCAGACCAAAACACCATTCCCACTTCTAAAATATGTTTTCATTAGTCCAAGAAAAGTGCACAACTCATCCACAACCACCAGGTTTTTGGTTTCATTAACTAACGTATGTACCCAAGAGTACAAAGAACCCAAATACACTACATTGCCAAATTTGCAGGGATGTTTTTTTTTTTCAACAAATACTTTTACGTCTGAGTTCTACGGGGTATTTCAAGCTCTGATAAACGTTTCTCTCGATTGTGTCTTGATCCAGTGAGTCTCACCTGGCGGCGTGCGAGTGTTGATGGGCGACTGGACGTAGGTGGAGCGGCGTTTGGTCGGCATGGGCAGCGCGATCTTCTCCTCTTTGTGTTTGGCCAGAGCCGCCTGCACCGCCTCCGTGTGGATATCTGCACACACACATCATCCGTACAAACATAAATACACACACAATTTTAAAAGTAGTCTTTTAGATCACAAACACATGTTCACAACCAATACAGGAATGTGATACCGAGTTGTAAAGCTCAAACCTCCGGAAGTCTTGCATATGCTGTCATTTGTTTTTGATTGTGCCTTCAAATTCCAATAATGGCATTAATACAGCTGGTATTAAGTTGTCATTCAGTCAACTTCAGCTCCAATTGCAGGCAATACAGTTTTACAATCTACGTTGTCGGCTCTTGGAAAAAAAATGTTTGAACTAAGGTGACCCTCTGACTAAAACATTTGGACACTCCTGTTCTATCACAGAAGATTGCCGCTTTCAGATGTGAGGATTAAAGACGTTCATCAAAAATGTCCAGTTTGATGTTTTTCCTCCACACACTGTCAAACGCACGGAGCTGGTGGAAGTGTCCTGTTTTATGTCTTTTCTTGATCTTTGACAGTTCATAGTAAATAAGTTTCCCCGCTGTGGGACAAATGAAGCATCTGTTAATCTTAATCATTTGTACTTGTAGATCACATGTCACACACAGAGTCACAAAACCAAACTATAAAAATAGATTCAGTCTAAAGAAATGACATCCTCGTAAGACTTAAAGTAGCAATATGTAAGATTTTCAAGTCGAGTCATCATAAAATGGCCTTAATCTGTCAAAAGGCATTAATAAAACATGCTCTTTTTGAATACTTCTTTCACTGAAGTCAGTAGTTCAGTCGAGATATTTGGATTTCAAAATTAGTTTTTACAGCCCCTAAGTCAGAGCCACTGAATCACAAAGGCTTTGTGATCGTACCAAGCATCTCGCTCACACAGACACGATTGGGCCGCTATGGAACATGAGTAATTAGCTCATCGGGGTTTTACATAACGAGCTGACTAATGGACCACGCTTCACTCACGTGGGTTTGGAGCAGACAGATCCGGCATATCTGCATTGTTATTGTGCCTGTTACTGTATGTGATAAAGGGTCAATTACAAGACTAAGCTTAGAGGACGAAACGTGGGGAGGCAGCGTTTCAGATTCATGCAGCTAAAATCTGGATCAGTCTTCCTGAAAATGTGAGACAGGCTGCTACTCTGACAATGCTCAACTCCAGTTTAGCTGTGACACACTGTAATTATTTATGATGTTAACGCCCTTTGAGTTTCCTTGTGTATGAACTGTGCTATAGAAATAAACTTGCCTTGCCGTTATGGGGAATCACATTTATAGTCATGGTAACGCGCTCGGTATCACCAATAAAAAAATCAAAACACACACTTTCATTGATCACTGTGGCCAGGTCTCTCTTCCAGTGTTTGATGATTGTATAGTTTTAACAATAATTACAATTGAAAAAAGATGTTCAAAAGGTTTACAGCAAATATTTTCAATGTAGGAACTTTTTATTCAAAGACCGACAAATGATGACTTTCCCCGACAACGTTCCCTTTGACTTCGCTGTCTGAAACCAATGCTTTATTAAAACGGGGCTGAGCGATAGGTGTTAGAGAACAAAAGGAGGAGGTAAAGTGATCACAGGTGTTTGTCTGTTTGGTTGTTTGTTTGTCTTTTTATCTGCCCCGGCTGGACTCCAGATGTCAGCCCTAGTTACACTGTAGTCCTGTAGCATTGCTAACACGAGAACTCCCAGTGCAGTCAATTCAACGGCTTTTCGTACTCAGTTTATGGTCATTAGTGGTCTTCCAAAGTTTGTTTTTTTCTGTTTCTATATCTAGTTTATATCTCATGTCAATATTTTTATGAAATGTGAAAAGTTCTATCTGTAAATCTCAGAGAAGTCTTTTTGACGGCTCTAATAATTTAAATGTAATTGGCAACCAACATTCGATAGCATTTAGAGCAACTTTTCTCAAGGTTCTGGTCCTGGACTGGTTCAGTCCAGCAACAGGTGCCACAGTGGGGCGGCTGCGGCTGTACAGGGCCAAACGGTTGTTGTGTCCTTAAGCAAGACACTTCACTCACATGCCTAGAATGAGTCTGGTGTTTGTGAATGGTTGGTAGTGGTCAGAGGGGCCGATGGCACATACTGGTTGCCTCGCTTATGTCAGTGTACCCCAGGGCAGCTGTGGCTACAGTAGTGGTTTATCACCAACGTGTGTGGAGTGAAAGAATAGTGACCTGTGAAAAGTGCTATATAAAACCAATGCATTATTATTATATCATATGTTTTTGCTGTGTTATATTCACAAATGTTAACACTTATTAAAGATAAAAATCAGAGAAATTGCTTAACTTTAATGAAAGTAGTGAAAAACTAAAACTATTTATTTTGGGAACACTACTAGAACTGTGGGAATTCGTATTGTTAAGAACTAACACTCATCTGTACATAACGTGTCTGTTGGAGCTGGTCTTTGAATTGTTGAAGAAGCAGAAGTTTCCCAGACGCAGCTCGTCCACGTTCATCATTAGAAAAAACTGCATCTTTGTGACATCGGCCTCAGCCCTCGGCCCTCAGCCTCTCAAGGCCTTTTCCATTTCCTGCTTCCTCTCTTCACCCCTGACATTTAAGCCTCTCTTCTGCTGCTTACGTTTTGCTCTGACCCCGCTCTGAGACAAAGCCACGGAGATAAACCACGTCTTCACTGGAGGCTGAGCAGACCTGGGGTTACCGTCACTTGTGTCAACGTGGCGTTTTTGGCTTTGAAGTGTCTGGTTTCGGTGCGGCCTTCGCGCACATGCTCCAACAATGATATCACCCTGACCTCGCTCACAAGGGGGCCGCACTGAGGGGCCCCCGAAACTACAGGGGCCTCACCGGTGTCTGCTAATGAAGAAACCATCCCTCTAGAGCACGTTTACATGCGGTGGCGGGGGGGGGGGGGGGGGGGGGGGGGAATTTATGTGTGTGTGAGAGAGAGAGACCAGAGAGAGATATCAGAGAGAGACCAGAGAGAGATATCAGAGAGAGACCAGAGAGAGAGACCAGAGAGAGACCAGAGAGAGAGACCAGAGAGAGATATCAGAGAGAGACCAGAGAGAGAGACCAGAGAGAGAGAAAAGAGAGATAGAGACCGGAGAGTGAGAGACCAAAGAGAGAGAGATATCAGAGAGAGACCAGAGACAGAGAGATCAGAGAGAGAGACCAGAGAGAGAAAAGAGAGAGAGAGACCCGAGAGTGAGAGACCAAAGAGAGAGAGACCAGAGAGAGAGACCAGAGAAAGAGAAAAGAGAGATACCGGAGAGTGAGAGACCAAAGAGGGAGCGATATCAGAGAGACCAGCGAGAGAGAGATCAGAGAGAGGGACCAGAGAGAGAGACCAGAGAGAGAAAAGAGAGATAGAGACCCGAGAGTGAGAGTCCAAAGAAAGAGAGACCAGAGAGAGACCAGTGAGCAAGACCAGAGAGAGTGAGACAAGAGAGAGAGAGACTGTAGTCTTCATCTCTGTTCGCTGATTGGTCGGTTGTACTTCCTGGTTCTCAGTAGCTGGAGTGAAATGAAACCGAGGGGAGGCAATAGGGGGCACTAGCCTGGACTCACTGGGGACATGTCTCTCTCTCTTGTGTCAGACAGTAAAGCAAGTCTTACCAGATCTGTAGCGGTCGTCGCGCGTGCCTCCGCTGCGGTGCGACCTCTTGGAGCGCCGCTCTCTGTAGCGCGACGCATTGGCCGCAGAGGGGGCGTGGCCTGAGGAGGAAGGGGCGGCGGCCTGCACATTGTTACGAGGAGCCGGCGCCACTGGAGAAAAGAAAGGATTTGTTAGATCTCGAGTCTCTTTACCTCAGAGTTTCATGTTTCAACACGTACTAATAGTGTGAGATATGTTATGAAAACACTGCTCAAATTAAATAAATAAGTTTTGTGAGAAGGGGAAATGTAAACGGATATTAGTTAACCAGAATATGTGCCTTTGCAATTGTCTTAGCAACACGTCTTTCCGTAACAGCGTGATGCTAACGCTACAGAAGAAATGGCCATATAAGGAAATTGGCTCCAGTTAGCTCGTGTTCAAGCTAGCTTCAAGTGATCCGCTTTAGATTCAGTTTATTTGCTATTTGCACTAAAACCACAGTGGAATACATACTTCTTTTGCAATAAGGTGAATGTCCATATAAGGAAATAAAAGAAGAAATGCCAATATGTGGAAATTGGCTCCAGCAAGCTTAAGTTCAAGGGTAATAATAATAATAATAATAAATGCAATATACAGTTGGGGCATGCATTTGTATTATTTTTTTATTCACATTGAAATATTAGGAAGTATTTAAATCCCTCCAACTTAATCGTAGCTCACAGACCTTTATGCACCGATTATGGCGAGTTAAGTTTATTGGTATAGCACAGTTCACCAGGGGTTTTCACAGAACAAACAGCATTTCAGCTCCCTGCACCTTGGAGTAATTCAGCCAATTATGTCAATGCCAGCTTTATTTGTATAGAGAATTTTCAACAGCATCAACAGCCCAAAGTGCTTCACAGGCACAAGAGGAAAAAAGAAAATAAAACAACCTTAAATACACACAAATACATGTAAAATGTAAAACAATTTTGGGGCGATAAATGACAGAACAGAAAAGTTTAAAAAGATGCAGAAAGATTTGGAAATTAGGTTCTTTGTTACTTCATTGAAAGAGACGAGTGATCTCAACGGAAGTTCCTGCTTATAAATAAATCAAAAATACAATCGCTGCATTTATTAGAATCTGCAGAAAGCTCACAGCTGTTACTTTGCATACAGTGAAACTCATGCAGGACTTTTGTTGATGTGAATAGAATAAATTATAAATGTATTCATATTTACTTGAATGGAGTTTTTTACTATAATTTTAGTGCTTGGTTTTATTTTGCATATCACATTTTCTTTGTGCATATTTTGTGTTTTACTTGATAATGTCATTGTTGAACCAATGCATTGCTATTAATCTCTAAGTTAGTATGATTAAAGCTGGGGTATGTAATTCTCAGTTCACAGTTTGCTTCTGTCAGTAGTTCTCACAAGCATGTACTGTGTGTTTGGCCTCTGTCACAGCTTTAGATCAGCTTTTTCAAACAGAAAATATAATGAAAATATTTATCTACGATAAGCTCTCACCTGGAGGCGCCTGGATGAAGAACGGGGCCAGTAGTTTCGTCCTTTTCTTCTCGTAGCCCTTTTGTGTGATGTCCCCTGAGAAAGAAAACAAACACTGATTAGAAAAGTTGACAGTTTCTTCTAAATATCACGTCGCACTAAGTTTGCATCCTGACGCAGAGGCCATCGAGGAAACACGAATACATAAAAACGCAACAATACATTAAAACGCTTTAGCGATAGTCAAACTTTGACATTTCAACCTCATCCACCACGTGCGCTGCTGCTGCTCTGAGAAATACAAAAACATGTGTCATAGGACCCACCAGAGGATCCAGGTTTCCTACAGGTGCTCCGGTTGCTAGCACAAATAACGATCAACCCAGCGTAGTATGATATCAGTCTGCTAATAAATCTGCTAAAACAATGAAAGGTCTGAACAAAGCAGGGGTCTGAACTATATCAACGTGTAAATATTTATATCGGCCATAACATCAATATCAACATTAGTTATCGGTATCGGATCTAGTGGTTTTTTGAGTGGTTTCTTGCTGGGTCTGAGGACAATGATTAGGACCTTTAGGCATTTATGAACATTTCTGGCCAGTGGTCGCCCTGCTCTTTCTTTGATGTTATTGCATTTCCTGTGCTTAAGCGGCAAATTGACAACTTTGTAAAGTCCTCCAAGATGACTGCTGTTGTGATTTAGAGCTGCACAAAAATTGAATGCAATAAAGTGTAAATTAACTAAACGTGGCTGAATGCTTAAAAAAGACAATTTTCCACAGTAGAAGCAGCATAAATCTCGTTCATAATTTTGCCCAAAAAGACAAAATGGCAGCTCAATGTTTACAATCTGCTCGTGGGAACAAAACAGCAGATGGGAGCCCGCCTCGGTGCAGTAGGAGTCAATATTCAGGCTGTGAGAAAAAAAACAAAAGAGTGGAAAAGAAGGAGCAGTAGGCGCGGGTGGAGGATGAATCAGAAGCAGTGGAGCTGGACCAAAGCTGCAACATGTCTGCTTCACCACAATATGTTCACATTACTGCAAACCACTGAAGAACAAAGTGCTGTTGTCTCGGTCCAGATCAAGACTCAGAGAGGAGGGAGAGTACATTACATAATCACACCAAGCATCTCATTCAAGTCATCAGACAGGGCTCTGAAGCTCAAAGACTTTCAGGTTTCAGTTTGCATTCCAAATCTTCAGAGATAATCAATCAATAAATCAATCGTTTAATTTAAATCTTGTGTGTGTATATATATATATATATATATATAAAAATTGTCCACTCACCTTTGGCCCTCCGCGGGCGGTTATCCCTCTCTAAGCTCGGGTCCTCTACCAGAGGCCAGGGAGCTTGAGGGTTCTGCGCAGTATCTTTGCTGTTCCTAGCACTGCACATTTCTGGACCGAGATGTCCGAGGTTGTTCCGGGGATCCGCTGTAACCACTCATCTAGCTTCGGGGTCACTGCCCCGAGTGCACCGATCACCACGGGCACTACTGTCACCTTTACCCTCCAGGCCCTCTCCAGCTCCTCTCTGAGACCTTGGTATTTCTCAAGCTTTTCATGTTCTTTTTTCCGGATGTTACCATCGCTTGGAATTGCCACGTCCACCACCACGGCTGTCCTCTGCCCTTTGTCTACCACCACGATGTCAGGTTGGTTTGCCATTACCATTCGGTCGGTCTGTATCTGGAAGTCCCACAGGATCTTCGCACGCTCATTTTCCACCACCTTTGGAGGAGTTTCCCACTTAGACCTTGGGGTTTCCAGCCCATACTCTCCACAGATGTTTCTGTACACTATGCCAGCCACTTGGTTATGGCGTTCCATGTAGGCCTTCCCTGCCAGCATCTTGCACCCTGCAGTTATGTGTTGGATCGTCTCAGGTGCCTCTTTGCACAACCGACACCTTGGGTCTTGTCTGGTGTGGTATATCTGGGCCTCTATCGCTCTGGTGCTCAGTGCCTGTTCCTGTGCAGCCATGATGAGTGCCTCTGTGCTGTCCTGTAGGCCAGCCCTTTCTAGCCATTGGTAGGACTTCTTGAGATCAGCCACTTCTGTTATGCTCCGGTGGTACATGCCGTGTAGGGGCTTGTTCTCCCATGATGGGCTCTCCTCCAGCACCTCCTCATCTCGCCACTGCCTGAGACATTCACTGAGTACGTCATCCGTTTTGGCCTTCTCCATGATGTAGTTATGGAGTTTGGATGTTTCGTCCTGGACAGTGGCTCTCACACTCACTAGTCCTCGGCCTCCTTCTTTACGGCTTACGTACAGTCTCAGGGTGCTGGATTTGGGATGGAACCCGCCATGCATGGTAAGGAGCTTTCGAGTTTTAACATCCGTGGTCTGAATCTCTTCCTTTGGCCACCTGATTATTCCTGCAGGGTATCTGATCACTGGCAGGGCGTAGCTGTTAATTGCCCGGGCCTTGTTCTTGCCATTGAGCCGGCTTCTTAGGACCTGCCTTACTCGCTGGAGGTATTTGGCAGTTGCCGCTTTCCTCGTCACCTGTTCGAGGTTGCCATTTGCCTGTGGTATACCGAGATACTTGTAACTGTCCTCAACGTCTGCTATTGTTCCCTCTGGGAGTGAGATCCCTTCTGTGTGGACTACCTTGCCTCTCCGAGTCACCATCCTGCTACATTTCTCGAGCCCGAATGACATCCCGATGTCATGGCTGTAGATCCTGGTTGTTTGGATCAGAGAGTCGATGTCTCTCTCGCTCTTGGCGTACAGCTTGATGTCATCCATGTAGAGGAGGTGACTGATCTTTGCTCCGTTCCTGAGGCGGTATCCATAGCCAGTCTGGTCAATTACTTGGCTTAGAGGGTTGAGGCCTATGCAGAACAGTAGTGGGGACAGAGCATCTCCTTGGTAGATACCACATTTGATGGTCACTTGTGCGAGCGGCTTGCCATTTGCCTCAAGGGTAGTCTTCCACATTCCCATCGAGTTTGCAACGAAGTCCCTTAGAGCCCTGTTGATATTGTACAACTTCAAGCATTCCATGATCCATGTGTGTGGCATTGAGTCGTAGGCTTTCTGGTAATCAATCCAGGCTGTGCACAGGTTGGTGTGTCGTGACCGGCAGTCTTGGGCGACTGTTCTGTCAACCAGGAGCTGGTGTTTGGCTCCTCTGGTGTCCCTACCAATGCCCTTCTGTGCTGTGCTCATGAATTGTTCCATATGCCCACTTATCTTAGCCGCAATGATGCCTGACATGAGCTTCCATGTTGTGGAGAGACAGGTTATTGGCCGGTAGTTGGAGGGGACTGCACCCTTGACAGGGTCCTTCATGATCAGGACCGTTCGCCCTTCGGTTAGCCATTCTGGGTGAGTCCCATCTCTCAGCAGCTGGTTCATTTGTGCTGCTAGGCGCTCATGGAGTGATGTGAGTGTCCTTAGCCAGTAGGCATGGACCATATCAGGGCCAGGTGCTGTCCAGTTTTTCATACCTGAGACTCTTTCTCGGATGTCTGCCTCTGTGATGGTAACTGAGTTCTGTTCTGGGAGGTGGCTGTGCTCCTCTCTCAGGGACACCAGCCATTGTGCACTTCTGTTATGTGCTGCATCCTTCTCCCATATGTTCCTCCAGAACTGTTCAGTTTCCAGCCTCGGTGGATCTGCTCCCCTGTTGTTACCCTGCCACTGAGCGTACACCTTCGCAGGTTGTGTTAGTGTACCTCTGTAGGCGGCTGGCCAGGGCTTGGAGCCTTTGTTTGGCAGTTTCGAGTGCTTCAGGTATGGTCATCTGGCTGTACTTTCTGGGTACTGGTCTTTTCATTGCACCTCTCTGGGCCTCTGTTAATTGACTCACTTCTCTCCGAGCCGCCTTGATCTTAGCCTCCAACCGTCTTTTCCATGGTGGGTATTGTCCATGGTTGCTCTTATAGCCAAGCATCTCTAGGATCACTGCTGCTGAAGTGTATATCAGCTCATTGGTTTCAGTGATTGTGGTGGTAGGTATTGCCCTCACTGCTGCATTCACGCTTTCTATGAGATCCTTAGGTGGTACTTCACACAACCGCTGTAACCGGTGTCTTTGCCCTGTGCCCATTCTAGCCATGATCTTAGCTTTCAGGTCAGTCGCTGCCTCGTTCAGCGTTATCGGTTCCATTGGGGCTATGTACCCAATATCTGGTTGGGGAGTTGCAGTTGGTGGGATCTCCCCTCTGACCTCGGCAACTGTGGCATCATATATGTGTTGTACTTCATCAATCTCAAGCTGTGATAGCAGTTGCCGTTTGTGGATGTTGGAGCATTGAGCTACCAGTTGTTTCGGGGTCAACTGTGACTGTGGGTTTCGAAGTAACCATTCAGCCCACATTCTCTGCATGTAACCTCTTTGGCCAGGGTTACTCGAGTAGTAGCATTCCAACAGAGCCCTGTTATCGCATCTCGTCCACTTTCGCCTTGTTCCAGTAGCCCACTTTTCATCAAGGTGCTCTGGTTCCCCAGCACCTGACGCAGACCTTGTTTGGCCGGGCGACGGCTGATCCGGCATCTCATTGCTTATTTGTACCTTCATGGTTATGAGTTAGGCAGTAGCATTAAGGGTCTTGCCCAAGGACCCTCACTGGATGTTGGTGTTAATGTGCTCCCGGTGGGATTCGAACCCTGGCCTCCCAGGTCCCAGTCCTGTGCCCTACCAACTGAGCTATCCAGCTGCTGGCCTCCCAGGTCCCAGTCCTGTGCCCTACCAACTGAGCAATCCAGCTGCTTTCCAGCTATATATATATATATATATATATATATATATATATATATATATATATATATATATATATATATATATATATATATATATAGATTAAAAAACAAAACAAAAATAGACAAGGGGTTGGAAGAAGCACCCTAATTGTATGTGTCGGCCGTGTTGCTTGAATCAGTGTCGTTTTTTGTGTATTATTCTTCATTTCTACAGTTTTCATAGTATATACAGAAAAAATACAAAACATTTATAGAACGATGGATAACTTGGAAAATCAGCAATCATTTACATTTTTTGTATTACATTGGGTCTCTTTGCTGCAGACTTTATCTTAATATAACACTTTCTTTTTTGGTAAGAAGGAGCCCTGTG